AGTCGGTAACAGCTCTAGTCCAGCGGTCGTCTTTAAATCTCATTACGTGACCAGCCCATCTGATTTTCGACACCTTGGCAAATGAGACAGCATCTCTGATTCTTGATCGTCGATGGATGTCAGAACTCCGGATTCTTTCTCTCATTTGAGTGAAACGTGATATTCCAAGCATAGCTCTTTCTATTCTTCTTAGCGTTCTCATCTTGTTTGCGTAGGGCCCAGGTCTCTGAGGCATATGTTAATGCAGGAAGAACAGTGGAATCAGAGATGTGCCCGGAGCCGGAAGTTCTTCATCCTCTTAGCTATTTCTTCGACGTTCTTGAAGGCATTCCAAGCCACTCTCTTCCTCCTGCGCAGCTCGGGTGCCAGGTCATTTGTCATGTTGACCTCTTGACCTAGGTACACATACCTGTTGCATTCGGAGATGGTCGTTCCATTGAGAGCGAATGGGGCGTCAGGAACATGGGAAGATGCCATTGTTGACAACATTGACGAGGAATATGATCGACTAGTTCAGCACCTCCATGAATGTGCAAGGAATGCCAAGAGAGATATACACAAAAAATCACCTATCTTCGAAAACTCTTGAGCTAATTCGTCAGCATGGTTTGGCGCATGCCTCAGGCAACCGCAAGCTAACGTCCGAGCTCGCAAAGCAGTGCAGAGATGCGATCAAGGAAGACCTCAAAGTGAGAAGAGCAGAAGTACTGGTAGATGCGGCAGAAGCCGGGAAAAGTATTCGTAACGTCCGCCTGTCCTTCGCTAACTATAAGACCAAGATGACTGCCCTCCGACGTCCTGATGGATCCATCACATCCTCCAGAACGGCAATGGAGAAGATTATCCATGACTTCTCAAATCTCTTCGATAGCCATGTCCACTTGCCGACATACCAAATTCCACAGGATGGATATGTCGTTCCCAACGTTCTCCCTTCCGAAATCCGACACGCCATTTCGTCGGTAAAGAAACAAACAGCACCCGGCCCAGACAAGGTCAGACCTGAACACCTGAAGAACCTGCCGTCAGTACTCATCAATACACTGGCTCGGCTCTTCACACGCTACCTGTCTGAATGCAAGGTTCTGTCCCAATGGAAAACCAGCAGGACCGTACTACTGTTCAAGAAGGGAGACATCAATGACATTGGCAACTATCGCCCGATCTGCCTATTGTCTGTCATCTACAAGTTGTTCACTCGAGTTATCCTAAATAGGATTGGCAGAACTCTAGATGAAGGACAACCATGCGAGCAAGCCGGGTTCCGCAAAGGATTCAGCACCATCGACCATATCCACACAATAACCAAGCTCATTGAGGTTTCTCGGGAGTTCAAGATGCCGCTCTGTTTAACGTTCATTGATTTAAAGAAAGCCTTTGATTCTGTTGAGACGGAAGCGGTCATTGAAGCCCTAGCCAATCAGGGCATTCAAGCCCAATACATCAGGATCCTCCGTGAGCTGTATTGCAGATTCACTACCAGGATCTCACCATTCTACAAAGAAGTGATCGTTGATATCAAGAGAGGGGTGCGGCAGGGTGATACCATTTCACCAAAACTCTTCAGTGCTACCCTCGAGAACATCATGCGACGACTGGAATGGGAAGGAATGGGAGTGAAGATAGATGGTCGGCAACTACACCACCTCCTCTTTGCTGATGACATTGTTTTAATAACACCAAACATCAGCCAAGCGGCACAAATGCTGGCCGATTTTGACCGTGAGTGTGGAAAGGTAGGACTACAGCTGAATCTTACGAAGACAATGTTTATGAGAAACAGCCTTGTTCCTGACGCCCCATTCGCTCTCAATAGAACGACCATCTCCGAATGCAACATAGCTGTAAATCATCCAGTATATTTCTGACTTCCGTCAAATAACCCCTTCCATATGCTTCTGCTTTGCTGCCAATGTCATAAAAAAAATTATACCTGTATAGTGTTCCATTGTCTATGTAAAACATCTCTTAGTATCCAGTCACCCAATGGTGAGGCATTTTAGGTTCTTTTCCACATCTTAGCTATTATAAATAATGATGTATTAAACATTGGGATGCATATAACTCTTAAAGTTAATCATTTCAGGCCAGAGAGATACTACAGTGGGTTAGGCATTTACATTCCATATAGCCATTTCCAGTTTGATTGCTGCACATGGTCCCCCAAGCACTGCCAGACTTCTCTTCTGAGCACTGCTGGATGTGGGCCCCCAAACCAAAATAATGGGAATAATAAATAACAAGATGACAGCGTACACAGTGGGAAATTATATCTTTATATCATATATCAGTGAAGGTTTTTTTTTTGTTGTTGTTGTTTTTTGGGTCACACCTGGCGATGCACAGGGCTCACTCCTGGCTCTGCACTCAGGAACCACTCCTGGCGGTGCTCAGTGGACCATATGGGTTGTTAGGAATTGAACCCGGGTCGGCCATGTGCAAGACAAACGCCCTACCTGCTGTGCTGTTGCTCTAGCCCCCTGAGTGAAGGTTTAATGTATAAAGGATATAAAAAAAAAAAAACAGGCTATTCAACAACTAAAACAAGCCAGTAAACAAATAAATAGAAATTAGTACTGTATAATCCACTTAAAATCCATATCAGGCTACAAGTGTTTTAGATACCTATATAAAGGCAAATTATTTGTTCACAGCATCTCTTAATTTTTTGGAAAGGGTCAGTATAATCATATGTGCATATCTATAATGCACTGGTCTATGTCATGCTTCTTCATTAGCAGTAGTATAAACTCCTTGTTCTTAGAATTCTTAAGTTAACTAGATGAGGTGGTTCTGATTCTTTCCTCTGGTAAACTCTTTTGGCCGTTTTCTTCCAAAACTCTGGTTCTTAGGAAATCTTTTGTGGCTGTGTCTAAAAATAGGCAAAGATGCCAGTATCCTTTTTTACCCTTTGCTTTTTGGATCACGCCCACCATTGTTTAGGGGTTACTCCTGTTACTCAAAAATTACTCCAGGCAGTATCATATGGGATGCAGGATGGGCATCAAACCCTGATTGGCCATACGCAAATCAGACACCCTACCCCTACCCCACTGTACTATCACTCTGAGTCCTCGATTACCGGTGTTTGTAGTCTGCATTCTTTTGATGCAAATTCTCTGACACAGGTATTTGTAGAGATTGTACAACCAAGTTGTTGCTTTTTATAAATCTTTGCTGGTAGTGAGGTGTCCTCAGTTATGTAATGGACATTAAACTGACTCATTTTGGTTTGGGGGCCACACCTAGTGGTGCTCAGGGCTTATTCCCAGCTCTGGGCTCAGGGATCAAACCTGGTCAGAAATATACAAGGCAGATACCCTATCTGCCGTACTATCCTTCTGGCCCGAAGACTATGTTCTCAGGAGAGAACATGGACAAATAAACATACGAGACAAGCAAGCCACATGTATGTTCAAGACAACACAGACTTACAGGCTTGAAGACCAAGCCAATCTGTCTCCTATTTCTAAAGATCTTATTTGAGTTTGTTCTTCAAATATCAATGTTCTCTCTTGTAGTCTCTGTGGCCTTCATGTCTTAAGCTTGGGCACCTTAAGTCTTAAAATAACTTCTTATGGGCCATATGCCTTTATTTGGTAAGAAAATATTAGCAGAAATATTAACAGAAAATAACTGGCTTTGAGTTTATTTTTCTCCTTTTGGGCAATACTAAGTGGTGCTCAGGGCTGTTCCTGGCTATAGCAGAGATGAAAGGAGAAATTCAGGGAACCACTTAGTTCTGGGGATGGGACTTGGACCTCCAAAAATCTAGTTTGTGCATCTGTCTTTTAAGCTATCCCTTTCAACCTAGTAGTATTTTTCTCTTTTGGTGGTGAGAGGTAAGGAGTTTGGGGGGTTGGTTTTTGCGCCAAAGCCAGTAGTGATCAGAGCTTATGCTCTCTGTACTCGGGTTATTCCTGGTAGGGGTTGGGAAACCATATGGGAGATCAGATACCAAGCCCGAGTCAGCTGCATGCACAGGAAGCCCCTTACCTGCTCTACTACCTCTCCAGTCCCAATATTTTCTTAATTTCCAGTCAAAGTTCTCTGTAGCAGCCCTTTTTAGCTAGAAGATGATATAACTTGGTCCTTTTTTTTTTTTTTTTTTTTGCTTTCACAAGTTAACCAAATTATGGTAGTCAGTACAGGTCAATTTTATTATCCTTTTTTGGTGCTGGGGATCAAACCTAAGACTTCATACATGCACAAGCATGCACATACTCTCCATCTGAGTTACACCCCCAATCTCATTTCTCCTTTCATCTCTGCTATAGATGGTGTTTAGCATTGTATCTTTGAAAAGAAAAATTGTATTTGAGGGAGAAGACAAGAAAATGAAAGGGTTTAAAGAGTGTGTACTGAAATGTTTCATTGTATAAGCTATAATTTGCAAGTGCTTCCTTGCATTTAGATACAATCAAAACTCATTTTTGGGTATTGTTTTGCTTAGATTTAAGTAAATAAACTTATTTAAGAGTATTATTTATAAAGGGGCAGATTACCTTTAGTTTTTTTCCTGTAATGATCAATTTTCTTTGTTGGGCAGTATTTGTTATGTTTTTATACTTTGACATCATTTAAAGTGATTAAATGCAATAGTGTTATTCTGATGCTAGTTCACTAGCTGACACTTTTTTCTAATATTTTAACATTTATATGAGTCTGCTTTGCTTAACATGTAACATAAAGTCTGGTCCTTTCCTTCCACCCCACCCCAAATTGAAATAAGGACTGGATCTAGATTTACTGATAAAGTTCTGTGAGTGTACGTCATATATCTTTAAAGACAGTCCATTCTGTTTCTTAATTATTATTTATGGGTGCTTAAATTTCAAAATATTGAAGGGTAAGGCTTTGGTATTAAGCAGTTAAATTGCTATGACATGGTTTTGTTGATCTTTATTGACATATTTACAAACAACTTCACAGGGAGCTTGTTTTGGATATTATTTTGAATAAGAAATGAAGCAGATCTAATTGAATATCTTTTCTTTCAGGATATCCTTCTTATTAATGTAGTAATTGAGCAAATGATCTGTGATACTGATCCTGAGCTAGGAGGTGCTGTTCAGTTAATGGGACTTCTTCGTACCCTGATCGATCCAGAGAATATGCTTGCTACAACTAATGTAAGAAATTACTCTGAGATAAAGAAATGTTTTCCTCTAATCAGCTATAAATGATTTTTTCTTTTTGTGATTGAATCACCATGAATTACAAAATTAAAAAGATAATTGATGATTGAGTTTTAGGCTTACAATGTCACAACACCAGTCCCTTTACCAATGTCCCCTACCTTTCACGAGTCACCAATATCCCCAGTTTCCCACCTGCCCACCACCCTCCCTCTTGCGCAGGCACTTTTCTCCTCTACCACTGTCCTAGTGCTCCTTTCTCTAACATCCCATCCCACACCCAATGCAGTGACAAGCTTTCTACTAAGACCAGTGCTCCTGTTCATCCATTCGTCATTCCGTGCATTCGTCCATCCTCCCATCCTCCCCTTTCTTTCTGGTTTTGGATCCACACCTGGCAGTGCTTGTGCTTTTACTCCTGGGTGTGCTCTCAGAGATCACTCCTGACAGGCAGTGCGAGAGATAAAACCCATGTCAACTACATAAAAGGCATATGCCTTAACTGCTTTATTACTGTATTACTGCCTTTGGGAATTTGCTATTCCCCTACAAAGTTACACATATGAGTGAGATCATTCTGAGTCTGTTCTTCCTCTGAAGGATTTCACTCAATACGATATACTCCAGATTTATCCATGTAGCAGCAAATTGCGTGACTATCTTTTCCTACTGCTTTTACTTGCTTGATTGGTGACATTCCATAAAAATGCCTGTAGCTTAAGTGTCAAGGAGAGTTCTGCCTATATTTTTCTCTGTGTACTTTATGAAATTCAGGTCTGATATCAAAGTCTTTAAGTCATTTTGGTTGGACTTTTGTGCATGGTATTTGATAAAAGGTCTAAGTTCAGTTCTTAGCATGTGGCTGACCAGTTTTCCCAGCTCCACTTCTTGTAGAGTCTTACTTGCTCCACTTGAAATTTTTTCTTCATAATCAAAGATTGGGTTTGTTTTTTTTTTAATGAGGGAGTACTGCTATTTGTTCAGCCACTGATTAGCTGATTGAATTGTGCATGAACTCCGCCTTACTTTTTTTTGTTGTTTTTTATAATTTTATTTATTGAATCACCGTGAGAGCAGTTACAAAGCTTTCGGGTCTAAGTCTCGGTCATACAATGAAACAACCGTACCTTCACCAGTGCCCATTCTCCACCACCAAAAATCCCAGTATACCCCCATACCACACCCTTCCCCTGCCTGTGGGGCAGATGATTTCCACATTACTCTCTCTGTACTTTGATCACATTCACTATTTTGACACCAGACCCACCATTATTATTTGAGATTTTACCCCAACACTCAGATCTGCTGAAAAGGCAACAGTAGACAATTTGTGTTCTAATGCTGGTTATGAATAACATATGATGTCGCGTGTCTGCAGTAGGGCCATGTGATTTTGAAATTCCAAAATTTTAACAAATCTGGAGGGATTTCTGCCAAAAGCCACTGGGTTTCAAGGTTTGCTCCTGAGTCTCTGGGATCATGGCCGTTGAGCATCTTGATCAGGAGCCAGAGAGGCCATTCGTGGGCAATGACTTGGGGTCTCATTGGGGTGGGGAGGACAGGCCTGGCTCCACCCCCATCCGTGAGGCCCAACAAGTTTTGTCACTGCTGGCCCAAGCCTGACTGTCCAATGGCCTCTGGAGGATGACGGCCACCGAGCCACCAGGGGGAACAGGCCAAGGCATGAAACCTATTCCCACCTGGATGACCCAGTACCAGTAACCTACTGCAGGGACCGGATGCATTTCTGCCAAAAGCCGATGGGTTTCAAGATTTGTTTCTGAGTCTGTGGGATCATGGCCTTTAAGCAGTTCAATCAGGAACCAGAGAGGCCATGCCTCCAGTTATATAGCTGAGCCGGAGGTGGTTTGTGGGTGTGTTTCCCACATACCTAACTTTACTTTTTTTTACTTTCTTGGTAAACTTTGCCCCAAGTTTTTGGGGTCTGGCCAGCAGCATTTTTGGGGTATCTGGAAGTTTGAAGACGCCATCAGGCTGCTGATGTACTCGCCTCACAGGTATAGATTGACCTGGCGGCACCATACCCCCATTGTTTTTAATTATATATTTTTTCTTCTAATCTTTTTCTTTTTTGTGTGTGTCACATCTGTTGATGCTCAGGGGTTATTCCTAGCTTTGCACTCAGGACTCACCCTGGCGGTGCTCAGGGGATCTTAAGGGATGCTGGGAATCGATCCCAGGTTGGCCACGTGCAAGGCAAACACCCTACTGGAGCGATAGCTCAGTGGGTAGGATGTTTGCCTTGCACATGTTCGACCCGGGTTCGATTTCCTCAGTCCCTTTCAGAGAGCCCGGCAAGCTACCGAGAGTATCTAGCTTGCACGGCAAAGCCTGGCAAGCTACCTGCAACGTATTCATTATGCCAAAAACAGTAACAGCAAGTCTCACAATGAGACATTACTTGTGCCCGCTCGCGCAAATCGATGAACAATGGGAGGACAGTGCTACAGTGCAGTGCTAATCAAAGATTAAGTGAGCATTTACCTGAGGGGAGAGTCTGTCTCTGAATTTTCTATTTTCCTGAGGATTGCTTTGGCTGGGGTCCCAGAAGGGGTGGCAGCGCAGGAAGGTGTTTTTCCATCTGAATTTCAGGAGTGTTTGATCTCTTTCTTTGAAGAGTGTCATCCTTATAGAGACTACATTGAATCTGTATATTGCTTTGGGGTAAAAGTAAAGTAAAGGCCCTCCCGTTGATCATCGATTTACTCGAGCGGGCCCAGTAACGTCTCCATTGGAGACTTTGTTGTTACTGTGTCTGGCATATCGAATACTCTCAGTAGCTTGCCAGGCTCTCTGAGAGGGGCGGAGGAATCGAACTCGGGTCGGCCATGTTGGCCACTTGTAAGGCGAACGCCCTACCCGCTGTGCTATCGCTCCAGACCCTTTGGGGTTCTATTCCATATTGGAGATGTTAACCCTCTTAATTCATGAGCAGGGAGTGTGTTTCCATTTCCTTGTGCCCTCCTTTATTTCCTAGTTTTTCCTAATTTTCTTTGTGTAAGTCTTGCACCTCTTTGGATAAGCTGATTTTTACATATTTGATATTTTTGAGGCACTATTGTAGATGGGATTATATTTTTAATCTCTCTTCTGTTTCATTATGTGCATATAGGAAGGACAACTATGAACTTTTGCGTGTTAATTTTGTAGCCTGCTACTTTACTATACAAATCTATTACTTTTTCTTTTTGTAGTGTCTTTGGGGTTTTCTAGATACAGCATCATGTCATCTGCAAATAGTGAAAGTTTAGCTTCTTCCTTTCCTATCTGGATTCCCCTAGTATCCTTTTCTTGCCTAATTGTTATGGCAAGTACTTAAAATACTATTTTGAACAGACATGATTAGAATGGGCAACCTTGTCTTATGCCTGATCTTAGTGGAGAGACTTTTTGTTTTTCCCTGTTGACTATAATGTTTGCTGTGAGCTTGTGGTAAATATTGAGGAAAATTCCTTCAGTCCCCTTTTTTGCTCTGATCCCTGGAGCATCAAAATTTAAGCAGTTATATTGCTGTTCCATAGTTTGGTTAATCACTTGCATTTCATGTTATAAGCATATTCAAAACACATTCTTTTTCTTGCTTTTAATAGATTATATGAAATAAATTTGATTTTTGTAGTTCTACAGAAAAAAAAATGACAAAAGTATGAGCATAACTAGTTGGGGTTTGCTTTGTTTTGTTTTTGGTTTTGGGGCGACACCCAGTGGTGATCAAGGGTTACTCCTGCCTCTGCACTTGAGATTCACCCCTGGCAGGCTTAGGGGATACCAGGGATATGGATGCCAGGGATCAAACCTGGGTCAGTTTGATGATCCAGGTTTGGGTTGCCTGCAAAGCAAATGCCTTACCCATTATACTCTCACTCTGGCCCTAGTATAACTAGTTTTATTTCCTAGTATCTTTTTTTGCTTTTTGGGTCATACCCGGCGATGCACAGGTGTTATTCCTGGGTCTGCACTCAGAAATTACCCCTGCGGTGCTCAGGGGACCATATGGGATGCTGGGAATCGAACTCAGGTCAGCCGCGTGCAAGGCAAACACCCTACTCACTGTGCTATTGCTCCAGCCCCTATTTGCTAGTACCTTAAGTTTATGTTGTATAATGATTCACATTGCTAATTCTTACCCGTGTTTATTATGAAGGTGATGTATTTTTAATTTTTGTGTTTCAGAAAACTGAAAAGAGTGAATTTCTCAATTTCTTCTACAATCATTGTATGCATGTCCTCACAGCACCACTTTTGACCAATACATCTGAAGACAAATGTGAAAAAGGTAAGGTCTCTTAACTTTATGATTTGTGTATAAATAGTGAAATCAAATTTATCTGTAGGTTGTTTGCTTCTTACTCTACAAATGGGAACTTACTACTGAACTTTTTCTGTTTGTTTTGTTTTGAGGCCAGAATCAGAGGTGCTTAGGGCTTACTCCTGCCCTATACTCAGGGATTATTCTTGGAGGGCTCTACGGACCATATGAGGTCCTGGGGATTGAACCTGGATTGGCTGCATGTAAAGCAAACCACTTGACCCATTGTACTATTGCTCCAGCCCCACTATTGAAGATTTTAAGTTGCAGTATAAAATAATGATTTACCTAGGTTCCATGTGTCTTTATTAATATTAATGAGTAGTACAGAAAATATGACAAAAGTATTACTTGCTATGGGAGAGAAATATTTAGTGAAAGATTGTCCCTGGAATGTTAGCATTAACATCTGGATTAAATAAAGAACTGACAATAGATTGTCTATATTAGAAAATCCGAAGAAACATAGTTTGGCAGTGTTCAGGATCAGAACTTGGCTAAAGAAGATATTAATTTTAGAAATTAAACTCTAAGCATTTCTCCCTAAATACACATTTTTCCCTGTATAGGGGAAAAAAGGGCAGATACAGTTGAAGTTTTTCTTTATATCCCTTTTACATTCTCATTACTACTACCTTGGTAAAATCACCATTCCTAAGAATTGTTGAATTTTATTTATAAACCTTGTATTTATATTGTTATGATGTAACTGTTTTCAACTTTTCAGAGTTTATAAGTTTTATTGTATACATAAAACTAAAACAGTTCTCTTACCCAGTACTAATTTGAGCATTTAAGTTTTTTGGTTTTTGATTTTTGTAGTAGTCCTTTTTCTTTAATGTAAGAGTACTGCTGTTTATTCAGTCATGGATTAAGCTGATTAGTCTATTTTTTTTAAGTGAAGGTAAGGTAAAGGTAAAGGCCCTCCCGTTGATCGTCGATTTGCTTGAGTGGGCCCAGTAACGTCTCCATTGGAGACTTTGTTGTTACTGTGTCTGGCATATCGAATACTCTCGGTAGCTTGCCGGGCTCTCCGAGAGGGGCGGAGGAATCGAACTCGGGTCGGCCATGTTGGCCGTTTGTAAGGCGAACGCCCTACCCACTGTGCTATCGCTCCAGCCTTTTGTTTTTAAGTAAAACTTTTGTTTTTAAGTGAAACTTAAAAAAGTTTCCAAACTTTTGTTTTTAAGTGAAACAAAATTATTTTTATTGAAATAAATTTACTTGGAGTAGTGTGAGAGAAAGAATATGTATTCAAGAGAGTGTATGGACTTCGGGAGAATAGAAAAGTTTGCTATAATTTAGCCATTTCTAATTTCTATATCTAATATACCTTTGTTTTCAACTTTTTAATGTTTCAATGTTCCAATATACATTATTATGTTTCCCTATATAAATGTACATAGATGTGTTTCTTAAAATCAAAATATACTTAAAATACTTTTATTTTAAATTTCAAAACATAAATAGCAGTAACATGCTATTTTAGCATTTAAGAAATTCCTAAATATTCTGTTAATTAAAAGTGAGATGCAGATACATACCCATCTTGTTAAAGAATTCCTGAGAGAAGCTAAAAGAATATACTTTTTAGTGGATGTAATAACTTTAAAATCATACTTATGATGGATGTCTTCTATTAATTATTCAACTGCTCCAATTTTATCAAATTTGAAGTAACCATGTTTTTTTTCCTATGGTTTTTTGTTTTGGTCTTTAGATAGTATTGTTGGATCTAACAGAAACAACGCAATTTGTCCTGGTAAGACTTGTTTTATAAGCTCCTGCAATATTCTTTTTCTTGTTCACAGTATAGTACATTTATACAAGACTAGGAAAAGCATTTTTTTCAATATGGAAGATCAGTGGAAATATATATATATATATAGTTTTATTTGTAAATGTAGACTCTTTGCTGACTTTTTTTGAAAAAACATCTGAAAGTGAAGGATATTTACTTATTTTTTGAATTCTTGTTTTGTGTTGGGATTATACCTGGCCGTACATTAGGGATACTCCTGGTGGTGCATGGGGGACCATAAGGGAATGCCAGTTATTAAACCCCAGTCAGCCATGCGCAAGGCAAGGGCCATACCTGCTGTGCTATCTCTCCAGTCCCATATTTTTAGATCTTTTAAACAAAGATCTATTTTTATCTAGTCTTCACAATAGCCTTATGCTAAAGTTTTTTTTGTGGGGGGCCATACATACCTAGCATTACTCAGGAGTTACTCCTGGCTCTACACACCTGCTCAGGGAACCATATGGATGCTGAGACTAGAACCACCACATGTAAGGCAAGCACCTTACTTGCTGTACTGTGCTCAGGCCCCTACTTAAGTATTTTTTATGAACCCAAATATAAATGCTATTGCTTCTGTTTGAAACAGACCAGTTATGGGCTTAGTAGTGCAGTATATATACTTTGTATATCTTGCATCTTGTCTTTTTACCATTCTCAAAGTTCTAAGAACCAGTTTTAATAAGAAAACTGTTCAGAGATTGAATTAGTTACAAATATGGGTAATTTTATGTCCAAATTTGATGAAACTATGTTACAAATGTTACAAGACATATAATATTTCAATCTTTGTAAGTAAATTTTGAGAATCAAGAAATTAAGAGAATCTGGGACCAGAGCAATAGTACAGCAGGTAAGGCATTTGCCTTGCATGTGGCTGACCCAGGTTTGATGCCCAGCATCATATGGTACCCTGATTAGAGCCAGGAGAAACCCCTGAGCACCACCAGTATGACCCAAAATGCCCAAAAAGGTGGGGGTTGTTAAGAGAATGTGTTTTTAATTGTGAAGCAAATATTTGAATTATTCAAAAAATTCTCTAGGGGCTGGAGTGATAGATAGCACAGCGGGTAGGGCATTTGTCTTGCATGCGACCAACCCAGGTTTGATTGCGAGCATCCCATATGGTCCCCCAAACACTGCCAGGAGTAATTCCTGAGTGCATGAGTCAGGAATAATTCCTGTGCAACGCCAGGTGTGACCCAAAAAGCAAAAAAAAAAAAAAAAATCTCTCGTTTATAGTTTAAATATTTCCTGTGGAGTTGAGTGTGATAAAGATTAGTCTGAAGCAAGTAAAATTGTTACTTGTACTTTAGTAGAAAAGTTAATTCCTGAATTTTTCTTTGTATTTGAAAATACACGGCCAGTTGTTATTAGAACTAAGGATTTTTGGTTTTGGTTTTGGTTGTTGGACCATATCTAGTGATACATAGTGCTTAACTCCTAGGTCCGTGCTTAGATATCACTCCTGGCAGGTCAGGGGTGTATAGATCAAAGGATCCCATCTGGTTAGCCACATACAAGGCAAGTTACTCAGTGCACTGTACTATCACTCTGGCCTAAAGCAGGACTGATTTATTCCTTTTACCTTGATAGTTGTACAGAATATTTTTCTTTTTAATCCTCTTGAAAAAAATCATTCTGCTAGACGATGGCTGTCTCTTTCTCTGACCCCATGATAGCAGTTTTTATGGAAATACTACTAAGAAAATCTCACTGCAATGAAGGACTTTTTCATTATGTTTGATTTTTACTGGGATATTTTTCCTCTCAATATTACTTTATGCCAGAGCCTGAAGAAAAGATATCTATTAAACTAGGTAAAGTTGATAATGCTTTGGAAGAGTTTACCTAATGAAAATGTTAAAATTATAGCTTCCTTAAGTGATCAAAAAATAAATTGAATTTTGTTTTTGCTGAAACTATAAAGTATAAGTCCTTATTTCTAATTGTGTATTGTAATATTTACTGTATGATTACTTTCTTTGTAGATAATTATCAGACAGCACAGCTTCTTGCCTTAATTTTAGAGTTACTCACATTTTGTGTGGAGCATCACACATACCACATTAAAAACTATATTATGAACAAGGACTTACTAAGAAGAGTCTTGGTTTTGATGAATTCAAAGCATACTTTCCTGGCCCTGTGTAAGTAACATTTTAACTAAATATTTTATTTATTTATTTATTTATTTATTTATTTATTGAATCACTGTGGGAACGGTTACAAAGCTTTCAGGTTTAGGTCTCAGTCATGCAAATATCAAACACATTTCCCTTTACCAATACTTACTTTTTACCATGAAGAACCCCAATAAAACCCCACCCCCCACCCCTCCCCTTCCCTGTGAGGCAGATGAATTCTAGTTAACTCTCTATCTGCTTTGATTAGATTCATTGTTTCAATAAAAGATTCACCACTATTATTTAGAGTTTACCCCCCTCCCCCCCCAAATCAGATATGCTGAAAAAGCATTGTGAAGTGATTTGCTTTCTACAGCTGGGTTCAAGAATTAAATGTTGGTTTTGGATTTCTGCTATTTTACCTATTGACCCTGGAAGTACTTCTACTGAAAGTCAGATAGTTAAGAAATTGGTTTCTGTGTTCTGGAGTCGTGGCCGTGCTGGAGAGCCGCTCATGGGGGCAACTGGTGGCCTCGGTAGGGCGTGAAGGGCGGAGCGAAACGCCCCCCTTCCCATGAGGTTTTAGTCGCCCCCACACTCCCGGCTCATACCTGCTGTCCACAAGGCTCCCATGTGGCCGCCATCTTTCTTTCCAGAGAGGAGAGGGCGAATGGGGCAACACCCTTTCCCCTCCGGCAGACTTGATGGGCTGGATCAACGCATAGTCCGTTCACTTTTCTGCTCCAAGCTGCCGGGTTCTGCATTAAGTCCTTGTGCTTCTGGGGCTGTGGCTGTGCTGGAGAGCCGCTTGCGGGGGGCGACTGGTGACCTCGGTAGGGCGTGAAGGACGGACCGGAGCGCCCCCTGACCCATGAGGTTTTTTAACTAAATATTTTTATAAAATGCTTTAAGGAGTTATTAAAAGATAAAAGCCAAAGTTGCCCATGTAAATTTATATGTCAGTATATACACTATGCAAAAGATGGTTGTGAGAAGAAGTAATCTTTGACTTTATTTACTTACTTTTAGTTGTAGAGGCCAGACCTGGCTCTGTTTAGGTTTTATTCTTGGCTCTGCTCAGAGGTCACTCCTAGAGGGGCCCAGAGGGTGATGCTGGATTGAACCTGTATCAGCTTATGCAAAGCATGCATACTGCTTTCTCTCCAGCCATCTCTTCAGCCCCCATTTTATTCTTTATTTCAAGAGTAAAAGAAACATCCAATTTGCCCTGATTGGCTTTGCATAAAAATTTTATATTAAATTTTTGAAAGATTAAAGTGTTTTGATTTTCCTAGCTAATTTCTATTAATAATTGTCCTTTATGTTGACAACAGTTCTGTTTATCAGATCGGTTGTTTTCTACCTTACAACCCCTCAAATCTGGTATGTATAGGCAAATTTCTGACTTGATTTTTCTTAGCAGCTGCAAAGTATTCCATTGTGTAGAGGTGCCATAGTTTTTTTTTATCCATTTGTCTATTCTCGGGTACTCATTTCCAGATTCTGACTATGGTGAATAGTGCTGCAATGAACATGGGTGTGCAGATGGTGTTTCTGCTATGTGTTTTTGGGCGCCCAAGGTGTATTTCCAGAAATGGTATTGCTGGGTCAAATCGGAGCTCAGTTTCAGGTTTTTGTTTTTGTTTTGTTTTTTTCCCTTTTGGGTCACACCTGGCAGTGCACAGGGGTTACTCCTGGCTCTGCACTCAAGAATTACTCTTGGCGGTGCTCAGGGGACCATATGGGACGCTGGGAATTGTACCCAGGTCAGCCACGTGCAAGGCAAACACCCTACCCACTGTGCTATCATTCCAGCCTCTCAATTTCTAGTTTTTTTGAGGAATGTTCATAGTTTTCCCAAAAGACTGAACCAGTTGGCATTTTTTTTAATATAGCTTTGTGTATATTAGTTCAATAACCCATATTAAATACAGCCCATTTGCTCACATCTTTCCTAATTTTTTGGTGTTTATCATCTTTTTGTTGGGTGTTAGCACTCGGCAGTAGTGCCCAGGAATCACTCCTTGCAGGACTTAAGGAACCATACGGGGTGCCAGAGATCCAACCCAGGTCAGATGGGTGCAAACCAAATACCCTACCTATTCTACTATTTCTCCAGCCCCAATGTGTTCATCATCGTATGTAATTTCTATTCTTCATCTCCCCCACCCCCAAAAAGAGGTAATGTTAGAAGTCTAGCACTTCTCTCCCCCTCTTCCCATTTTCACTTCTGACAGCCTCAGAGAACCATATATGGTACCATTGATTTAAACCCTGGTCAACCCAAGTGCAAGACATTTCACCTTATGGTTACACTCCCTTATACTCACCTTATACTCTTTCCAACCCCTATCTCCCCACTTTTTGATATTATAATTAACAAACATTTATCTTACATGATATATTTTGGTTTTATCCTCAGATAATATAGAGCACCTCTTTCAACAGACAAAATTTGTTTTATTTGTTTGCTTATTTATTGAGGAGAGGCTTTTTGGGTCATGGCTGGTGATGCTCAGGGGTTACTCCTGCTCTGCACTCAGAAATTACTCCTGGTGGTGCTTGGGAGACCACATAGGATGCCAGGGGTAGAACCCAGGTTGACTGCATGCATGGCAAACACGCTACCTGCTGTACTACCTTTCTCGCCTGGCCCAGCATAATTTATTTTAATGGCTTCTGTCTGTGAACAGGATTAAACTTAGAGACTGATTTTTAAAATTGAATATCTTGAAATTCAAAGATTTTTCCAGTGCTAGTTGTAGAATAAATTAAATTACTTAGGGGAGAGCTTAAAAGCTAAGATGAATAGTAATAAAGGATTGAAATTATACTTATGTTCCATAGTGATTTTAGCAATAAGACTACCAAGTAAAGTCTCAAAGTCTGATTATGTTTATTGCAGATTTGCTTTTTATTATAGAAAAATGCATTGCCTTAATGAAAAATACCTATATGTTATTAATAAGATCATCAGCTTATCTCCTGTATTATTTTTAATTAGGTGCTCTTCGTTTTATGAGGCTGAAAAAAGACTGATCTGGTTAAAAGGAAGTTTTTTAATATTCTGAAATGTTTTAAAACCTGCTTATGACTGTTGCTCTTTTGCAAAATAGTCTCGTCTGCCAATTACATGTTTGCCTAAGTAAAAGTAATTCAAAAGCAAATGATAAAGGAACGATGTTTTTATAATGCTGAGGGTAGTATTGGTTTATAGGTGATTTTTCTAAGGCAAAGGAAGCTTGAATTGTGAGAATGAAACTATTGTCATCATCAGAGATAGGAAGTTTTAGTTCTGTTAGTTATATACTAGCAGCAGAACCCCTTTTGTCTGTATTTTCAGAAAATTTAAAAATAGTACCCACCACTGAACCTCTTTTCATCAGAGAGGTAAGGCAATCTTGACTCTTTGAAGACACCTCCATGACAGCTCTCTGTTGTCTACATATCTAAGCATTCCCAGCATTTTCTTTTTGTGGATTTTGTATATATATTTTTTCTTTGCCATGGACTGTCTGCCTGGGCAGTTTATCTCACAGGTACCAATAATTTTTTTCTCTTAGTTCTGTTTTAGAAGTTGTATAGCTTTTCAGTGGTCTCTCCCTAATTCTCTTTCCTCAAAGTCTGATTATGTTTATTGCAGATTTGCTTTTTATTATAGAAAAATGCATTGCCTTAATGAAAAATACCTATATGTTATTAATAAGATCATCAGCTTATCTCCTGTATTATTTTTAATTAGGTGCTCTTCGTTTTATGAGGCGAATTATTGGCCTTAAAGATGAATTTTATAATCGCTATATCACCAAGGGAAATCTTTTCGAGCCAGTTATAAATGCTCTTCTGGATAATGGAACTCGGTACAATCTATTGAATTCTGCTGTTATTGAATTATTTGAATTTATAAGAGTGGTAAGTTTATATTCAAGTATTCGTGCTATAGTAAAATAAAGTTTTGTGATGCTGCTTTATTTCATTATGAAATTTAAAAGTGAAAATGCAGCAGAGACTTTGACCTATATTTACTCTGCTCAGTTGTTATATATTTATATGTAATATAATTTCAGTCAAGCATGCCATTTATGTGATCTCTGAGCTATTATAGAATAGTGAATAAAATACAAAAGTTTAAAAAAAGTCTGTAATAGCTATAAAGACAAGATGCATACATGGTAGAATGTTATTATGGATTTTTTTTAGGCAGACTGCTGCTCCAGTTGCCTTCTTTTATAAATAGGACACATACACACAGTGATTACGTTACCATTTAGGTAAAAGCAGTCAGGCTTGACGGATACCACACCTCTGTTTTGATCAACAAAAATTTGTCATGAAATGTTAGATTACTACCTAGCAACAGCAAAAAAAGAAATGAAAATAATGTAGATTGCCCTAATAATAGGAATAAAACAAATAACTATAGAACTAGTAATGTGTTTTTGCCCTTTTCCACCCAGTGAAATCATTCTACTAGAAAAAATAACCACATATTTTCAAGTCTTGAAAAAAGCAAGTCAAAGCTATAAACTTTCAAGCAGCATGTCTTACAAATCAGATTGTACTAATGGCATGCTATTCTATTAGGATTATTTGACACAGTGATTTTTCTTACAGTTGTCAAGTAACAAGATTTTTTTTTCTTTTTGGGTCACACCCGGCAATGCTCAGGGGTTACTCCTGGCTTTGCACTCAGGAATCCTCCTGGTGGTGCTCGGGGGACCATATGGGATGCTGGGAATTGAACCCACGTTGGCCACGTGCAAGGCAAACGCCCTACCTGCTGTGCTGTTGCTCCAGCCCCCAGTAACAAGAATTTTTAAAACGATAAGATGATTTTTTTTTTTTTTTTTTTTTGCTTTTTGGGTCACACCCAGCAATGCTCAGGGGTTACTCCTGGTTCATGCACTCAGGAACTACTCCTGGCCGTGCGCAGGGGACCATATGGGATGCTGGGGATCAAATCAGGGTCGGGCCGCGTGCAAGGCAAAAATGCCTTACCTGCTGTGCTATCATTCCAGCCCCGAGATGATTTTTAAGATGATAGAAATAGTCTCTAGCATGTGAGAGAAAACTAGCTCACTAAGTATCTGAACCCAGATTCACAGTACAGTTATCCTAATAAATCAAAGACTTTTATTTTTTCCCTTTTGTTTATATTTGGGGGCTACACCTGGCTATGCTCAAGGGGTTACCCTTGGCTCTGCGCTCAGTGATCATTCCTGGTGGCTTGGGGGACCAAACGGGTTGCCAGGGATCAAACCTGGGTCTGTCACATGCAAGCCAAGTGCTCTACCTGCTATACTATCACTCTGGCCCTATTTTTTCCTATAAAAAGGTAGCCTATATATTTCTTAGTATTTATAAAAGTTTGAATCACACCTTTAGTTATTTTTAATACTGAGTCTCCTTTGTACCTATATACTTGCAGTGATCACTTAAGATAATTCATTTGTAAAATTTTAGAAGTATCACTATTGGCTTATTTCACAAAGTTTAATTAGAAGTTTGCAGGAACAGATAAGAGTTAAAATTAATAGTTCATCAGGCGAGAGAGAGAGAGAGTGTGTGTGTGTGTGTGTGTGTGTGTGTGTGTGGTGTTGTGTTATATGTTACCTAAACTCTACATTTAGGTAAGGGTAGCAGCATTCTGCCTTTCTGATAGCATTTAAATAGGTGTCATTAAGTAGCACCTTATATTAAAAATATTTCTGCATCACCTATCCAAAAAGCTGTATGTACTCAACCTCTCTCTCAGTCCCTCTTTTAGTACCTTTTTTTTTTAATTAAAAAAATATTGTTTTAAGTGGGACTAAAATCCTGTTTCACTGAATTATGAGGGTCAAATAGAATTATACATGGAAGAGTTCTTTAAGTTGTAGCGTTATGTAAATATAATAACAGAAAAGTAAATCTGTTTACTCTTCAGATGTTCTTTATATTTCCTTGATAAAACTCCAGTGAATTGCTGCTGCTTTTTCACAAATTTTCTGTGGATTCCTGGCACAGATTTAAGAAACTAGGACATTTGTTTCTAACCCTTTTTGGTCAACTTTGAACCTATTAAAATTTTTGTTTTTCTCCTAGTATATTATATTTGAAATGTAAATTTTGTGCTTACACAGGAAGATATCAAGTCTCTTACTACACATATAGTTGAAAACTTTTATAAAGCACTTGAATCGATTGAATATGTTCAGACATTCAAAGGATTGAAGACTAAGTATGAGCAAGAAAAAGACAGACAAAATCAGAAACTGAACAGGTACTTTGAATATATCGTATTTATAGCCTCTGTTTACTTAGGTCTTGTATATGAAATTTACCCAGGAATTTTCTGTCATTAGCCTGGCAAGCTACTGAGAGTATCCCGCCCACACGGCAGAGCCTGGCAAGCTCCCCATGGTGTATTCAATATGCCAAAAAAGAACAGTAACAACAAGTCTTACAATGGAGACGTTACTGGTGCCTGCTCAAGCAAATCTATGAACAACTGGAGGACAGTGATACAGTGCAGCTTTACAGAGTTGTATAAAAAAATAAATAGGATATTCTCCTGTCTCATACCCTAATACCCTTACAGGAAAAATTACTGCTCCATATTTTTTAGTTTGCAGCATCCTTAGATACTGGTTATATCTTACATTTCTAGTGAGGTGATTGATAGATATTATGTTGTTATTACTCCCCCTTAGTCATACATATTCTCAAAATCTGGTCATCAACTAAAATCATTCTCAATATTTGTGGTATTTTTCTTACAGTGTACCATCTATATTGCGTAGTAACAGATATAGAAGAGATGCAAAAGCCTTGGAAGAGGATGAAGAAATGTGGTTTAATGAAGAGGAAGAGGAGGAAGGAAAAGCAGTTGTTTCATCTGTGGAAAAATCTAAGTCAGAAGATGATTTCCCAGATAGTTATGAAAAATTTATGGAGACTAAAAAAGGTATTTTAATTTTTGAACTAGCATATTCTGTCACTTATTACAGAAATTATTTAGTTGCTTGTGTAGGTTTTTTCATAGTTTATGTCAAGAAAGATAAATTTTATACTAAACCGTGCTTAAAATTATGTATTTTTTTTTCCTAGTTTGGTGTTCTTCATGTATTTATTGAAAATTGCTTCTTTTTCCACTTATGAATTTCATTGTCTGCTTTTTTGGGTCACACCTGGTGATGCTCGGGGGTTATTCCTGGCTCTGAACTCAGGAATCACTCCTGGCCTTGCTTGGGGGACCATATGGGATGCTGGGAATAGAACTCGGATCGGCCGCATGCAAGGCAAACGCCCTACCCACTGTGCTATCACTCCAGCCCCTATACTTTGTTTTCTGTGAACAATCTTGGCTTTATATCTGTACTAAAATCTCCAATAATAATAGAGCCATAGAAATGCATAGAAACTTTCCATGGCACTCTTACCTTTTACAGCTAATGGAAAACTAAGCACAAAGAAGTAATTTTGCTCATCATATAAATGTTTCATAAAGATACAGTACCTAGAAAAACATTTGTTACATTTTCAAATATGTTTTTGTTTATGAAATTGGTATGACTAGTATCCTTTAACAAGTCTCATTAATTCTATGGCCTGAGGAATTATTATTCAATTACTATCATGCATATATTACATAAATGCTGAATAAAGACCTAATTTTTCAACCAGAGAGATAGTATATGAGTAAGGCACTTGCCTTGCATATGTCCAAACTTGGTTTGAAAACCAGCACCAAGTATCATCTCCAGATCACCACCAGGAATAATCCCTGGGTAGAGCCAGTACAGGTAAGCCCCAAGCATAGCTGAGTATGGCTCAGAAAATAAAAATTTAATTTTTAAAAGAAACATCCCTGAATTTTATGCAAGTTTATTGTTTTGAATATAAACATTTTCTAAGGGCTTTTTTTTAGTGGTATTTACTAGTATGCTTTTCCTGAAGCTTTTGTACCTTGCCTTAGCTCTTTTTCCATTCATGAATAAGTTCTGTTGACTTCAGTCAACTTGAGGAAACAAGTGTCCTTATGCTTTTTAATAGTCAGATTCTTATAACTGTATTTATTAGACACTTCCCAGACTTCCTCCAAAGAGGAAATAAAGTCATACATGATATACTGCATCCAGTTAAGAAGCACACAAATAGAGTGGCAGTCAGGTATTATAGGAGCTGGGAAGATGTCTCAGAAGGCTAGAGCCGATACCTTGCATATGCAGGAGGCCCAGGTTCTACCATATTAATTCATGGACAATAAAAGAGTAAAATGACTAGTGAATCCTTGAATTAGTGTATCCTAAATGTAGCAAAGTAGAATTCTAGGAAGAGAATGGGAGAAGGGAGACTGTGTGTGCGCACACTTGCATAAATGTATGCATTTATCTATCTATCCCCAGGGATGAACTTAACTTTGATGCATATATCACTTTATCACTTAGCCACATCTTAAACCACTTTGAAGAGCTTGGAGGTACTTGCTTGGTTTGGGGCCACACCCAGCAGTTTTCAGGGCTTATTCCTGGCTCTGTGCTCAGGAATTACCCCTGGCATGGTTATGAGGAAAATTGAGATTTTTTTAAATTAACGTATCAATAAATAAAGATATCACCGTATGCATCATAATCTGTGCTTTAACTTTTCATTAAGCAAAGACTTTTCTTTTTCGGGTCACACCCGGCAATGCTCAGGGGTTACTCCTGGCTCCGCACTCAGGAATTACTCCTGGTGGTACTCAGGGTACCATATGGTATGCTGGGAATCGAACCCGGGTCGGCCACGTGCAAGGCAAACACCCCACGCACCGTGCTATTGCTCCAGCCCCACAAAGGCAGTGTTTTTAATAAAAAAATACAATTCGTTGGATCAGATCACGGGAATATTTATTAATAAAGATTCAAATTTTACTTTGGCTTTAGCGAAAGAAAGTGAAGACAAAGAGAACCTTCCCAAAAGGACATCTTCTGGTGGCTTTAAATTTACTTTTTCCCACTCCACCAGTGCTGCAAATGGAACAAATAGCACAAACAGTAAATCTATAGTGACTCAAACCCCACCAGCAAGTTCTAATGGATCTTCTTCCAAAACAAACTTGGCTACATCAGTAACAACCACCAAGGTATGAACCTCTCTCTGCCCTGTACAGTGCCTTAAGTCTGAGAAACAGAGCCTTTCTTGTTTAATTTTCTGTGTGTATAGATAATAGAAATGAAATTCAAAACTAGATTAGCTGTGATTGTTAAATTTGTTCTTTGTGTGTGCTGCCGCTCAGACGCAGGACCTCACACATACAAGACATACTGGCCCAAATTGAATAATCTTAAACCAAAGAATAATTTTAACTTACATTAGAAACCAGTATATTTGACATTATATGATCCTAAGAATAATTAAAATGCCTCAGTATCTTAATTGTCTTCAAATCAGACTGTTGCGCTTTTATGCTGTACTATACTCTGGGCTTACTCCTGGCTTTGTGCTCAGGGTACCATATGGTGTACCTGGGATCAAACTTAGTTCAGCCACATTCAAGGCAGGTATCCTACAAACTGTACTAAAGCTCCAACTCCACAAAATCAATATTCTTAACAAGTTAGCCATATTTGTCTCCTCTTGCTTGTGTGCTGTAAGGATGCGGGGGGTGGGGGGGGGAAGCAGCAGAATTCTTTAAGTGTGTAAGTTTTATTTATTTCACAGAATCTGAATAACTTGGTTTCTCCTAAGCTTGGTATTGGTGTTAGAGATTAGATTCATTTATATTCTGGTAAGGTATTGATGCCCGGTGCCTGTATTTTTCTTTTTTAATTGGCGGGGGGTGGGGGGGGTGGGGCACACCCAGAGGTCCCAGGGCTTATTTTGCCTCTGCACTCAGGGATTTTTTTTTTTCCTGGTAGGGCTCAAGTATATAGTAGAGTAATAGGGATTGAACCTGAGTTAGCTGATTATAAAGAAAAATCCCTACCTACTGTGCTCTCTCCAGCTCCACCTTGATTCTGTAGATACAAAACTACTTAGTTACGAAATGAGTTATTTATATATGCTTATCTAAAGCATTTGAACTAAGTGTATACAGTAACCCTTTTATCCCTTGTACAGTCATATAAATTTCATGGGACTGATTCAAATGAATATGAACCTGAAGAGTTATTTTTTTGGGTAGAGCTTTAATAAGATTTTCACAGATTTTCATTATATATAAAAGGCAAAATACCTGAATTATCACATCCTTTTGGGTTTTCTAAAGTACATTTTTAGGACCTATTTCATGTTTATCATCTCAGGTATTTTAAACTACTCTTTGAAAGCAGCACAGAAATGCTGATAACTTAGTAATGAAATATGTACATGAGGAACAGATTGAAAGAAAATATCTTACCACTGGTTGACCATTCTCTTCATCACGATCATGATCATCCTGTTGTTCGTCGATTGCCTTGAGCAGGCACCAGTAACATCTCCTTAGTCCTAGTCCTGAGATTTTAAAGTGCCATATTCAAGGCCCTTTCAGGGCTAGGAGAAAGAGACCCATCATTGTTACTGGTATTTCGCATATTGGGTATGCCATGGGGAGTTTGCCAGACTCTGCCGTGTGGACAGGTTACATTTGGTAGCCTGCCAGGTTGTCCAAAAGTAAGAATGAGATAATAAGATGTCGTGCGTCCACAAATGGTGCCGCACTCTTCCGGGAGCTGGGTTTTGTAGTCCCTGGGTCTTGGCCATTGATGAGATTACACGGCGCCAGGGGGCCAGTTGGTGGGTGTGACCCCTCCTACTGGAAGATGGAGGATCTGGGTGGAGGATGCTCAGCCCCGATCCCAGCAGGCTTGGAGATCTCAGCCCCGGGACCCGCATGCCTTTGTTCCTCTGCCAGTACCTTCATGCGTGTGGAGAGTGGTCTCAGCATGGTTGTGGCTGTTTCTGGTGGTCTTCGGCTGCTGGAGCTCTGCTCGGGGCGGGGAGGGAAACTCAACCCACCCCCCTCCAAGGGGCCCCGGCAAGGACAGCCAGGCGCAGGGGCAGGAGACTGCACTGTTCTCTTCCGGGAACTGGAAAAAATTCTCTTCATATTATTAGAGAAATGAAATAGTTCATTTCTAAGACCGTTTCCAACTCCAAATGTGTTGATTCTTTGGGAGTCCTGCTATTTGAAAATAATTTTTTCCACTGTGAAATTTTCCTGAATTTAAGGTTGATGTAATTAAAAATCCAAGAGCCCAATAGAAAAGTTAAAGGTTATGTTATCGAAGACTGATATGAAATTGCACTGTTACTCAAAATTTGAAGCATATGATTTGCATCATAATTGGAAGTGCTAGTTTCAGATATTTGTGATTTATAAAAAGGATCTCTAATATATTTTTTGTGGTTTGAGGGATATCAAACCCAGTAAGACATGCACTATACTGCTGTTATACCCCCTGCCAAATTCAGGTATGAATTTTGGCTTATTTGGGTTTTTTGTTTTGGGGTCACACCTAGCTGTGCTCAGGAGCTACTCCCAGTTTGGTGCTCCTCAAAAGTTGTCTCTGCCAGTGCTCTCTATGCAGTATGGTGCCAGGGATTGACCCCAGCCTCTCACATGCAAACTCTTTGTTTCACAAATTGAGCTATCTCTCTGGACCCAATTTCTAGCATCTTTTGAACAAAGTGCTTTTAAATTAGGATGGAGAGTAGGCTCGAATACATTGAATGCAAGAGGCCCAGCTTTGATCCCTGTTACTAACTGGTCTCCTGTGTAATCTAGCTAGTATCCCTGAGCACCTCTCAGATATAGTCCAAAAACAAAATTATAAGAAGAAACTCTTTGAAGTTACTTGCATTAATCAGCTTTTTCTGTTCCCCCCCCCCTTTTATTTTTCAATAGGGAAGTTTGGTTGGTTTAGTGGATTATCCAGATGATGAAGAGGAAGATGAAGAAGAAGAAACATCCCCCAGGAAAAGACCTCGTCTTGGCTCATAAAAATCCTACTGGGACCCTTAATTTGTGGTCTTACTGATATGCTGCAACTGTTCAAGAGCTGAAAAATCTGAATCAGAAAGCTTTCTCACTTGAACTTATAACTATACAAGGAGTAGCAAAAGACAACTAGGAGTGTTTAGTTCTGTAAAAAACCAGGCTTCCCAGGAACTTGATTGCTTACTAGTAATTAAGGTGTTTGCCATTCAGGCTGTCATTTAAAAAAAAAAGAAAAAAGAAAAAAAGGTTAATACCCAAAGTCTGGGAGATAGCTTCTCAGCCAAGAAGCTCTCAGGTTTGCGGGGAGGGACAAGGTTGATAAAATATTAATGCAGGGTTGCTCCAGGGGTTATCTACAATAGAAGCAAGTACAACACTTCAGTTGCAAACCCAAGAACATTACCTAGATAATGGTGCTGGCCATATTGTTCTTTTATTCCGTTGCCTCTTATTAAAAGGAATTTTTATGGAAAACCAATTCAGCTATCATAAAAATTGAAGTTAAGCTGTTGGGACCATTTCCTTGAAGATTTAACAAAAATTCAACTGTAATAAGTAGTTGAAGGAAAAGTACACCCTGTATTACAGCACACGTTTACACGTTTATTTACTACACCAGGAATATTTAAAGTATTCTTGATGAAAACGAATTGGATTCACAATGGACTGTTACTATAACTTTAAAATCAGTGCTTTAAAAGATAACGTGTCAAGAATCAATACAGTAGTATTCCAAAATAATTTTCTCTAAAAACTTGGGGAGTGGATTGAACAGAATATTTTCAACTGCCTACTAGTACAATCTTTTGTGAAGGATACTTTAAAGTCATTTTCTTATTTGTTACTGAAGTTCTTTCCAAAGCTGCAGGCAAGTTTTAAAGTATAATTTATAAAGACCATACAAAGAATAGAGCTAAGTTAAGTGGCATTTAATATTTAGAGGCCATATTGATCCAAGAAGAATTTGCTATGGTGTCAAAGTCAGTGTGCAGCACATAAAGTTTTTCCATAAACAAGGGTGTAATATGAAAGCTGCTTTTTTTTTTTAAAGGAGTAAAAAGCACATTCCATGTACGTAAATGAATTTAAAATAATTGAGGCAAACAGTTAAGAAGTTTTATTTTTAGAACAGGTTAACTGTAAATATTTTAATGTTAGTTTGTTCATTTATGATCTGAGATCATGCTAAAGTGAGAACAACATCCCCAAAACTGTAATGCATTGGGAAAAGCAAAAGCTACAAATAGTATTCCAGCTACAATCTTCAGATCACTCTTGTAATGTGTTATGGGTCCATTTTTCCTGGAATAGCTTAAACTGAAGCAGTTTCCCCTGTTTTGGAGATTTTGTAGTTAATTTTAATTTTGGCTATTGTTTGGAAAAGATGGGCTGTCTGTGTAGATATGAAGTATAGTTTTTCCATAAAACAGATGTTTATTTTGTATTAAAAATACCACTGTACTTGTTTTACACCATTTGTATACATGTGGTGATATTAATGCTGAACTGTAAAATTCAGGAATTAAAATGTGACCCTGTAATTCTATGAATGTTGCTTTTGTTTGGTTTGTTGTAAATATAGGTTAAACCCCATTTTGAAATATGTCCAGTTTACAGTACCTTTTTAAAGACAATGAGTTTTCCATAGATATTTATCGCAAACCACTCAATCATACATCAATATGAATCAAACTGCACAATATGAATCGAACTGCACTTTAAATTGCACTGACTCTGCTTGGATGTGCCTTGGGCAAAGTAAGTTTCAGAACCAAAGCATTATAGCATGGAATTACTCTTATGTCTTTATTAAAATACATATAATGACAAAGACCTTTCACCTCAAAGCAAATTACTCAGGACATTTTAAACCAAGGCTCAATTGAGTAACCATATGAATACATCTTCTTTTAAGCAAGTTTTATCAAGCCCCTCTTTATTCTTATCTCTTATTAATTTCCTCTTGTAATCTAAATAGCACACACTTGAAATCTTGTATTATTTTTGATTAATTCTCCGTTCCAGTAAGAAGCATTATCCTTGTATCTTAACTGGGTTTATTTCATTTCCCATAGGAATTTCAAATGTCACAAGTCAAACTTTTAAATTGTCACAGGATATTTTTCTTATGGCAGAAGTGTGAATGCTTATAACTTTGTAAGGATAAGTTTTCATGTCACATCCACTCACCACAGTGATATGACGCCATGATTTAAAATATTACCCTTTGAAAGAATAACAAGATTCCGCATGCTAGCTGCTGTCTTAACTAAATGACTACCCTCAGGCAGATCCTATTTTTTTTTAATAAATTTTTATCTTAAGCAATTCAGAGCCCACAGTGTATGCCTGAGGTTCTCTTAAAAGTATATTTGTAAAATATGTATCCAATATAAAAAGTATTTTTAATAAAAAGTTACATGAAACATTTCTGTGTTTTAATACAAGTTTTTCCTCTTGTTCATCTAACTGATGAAAATATAACAGTAATACTGGTTTTTCTCTGCAGGTTAAAGTCAAGTCAAACTAAGTTTTGGTTAGTTTTTAGTTTATAATAATAGATGTAAGAGTGGCCCATGAATAAAGGGCATGGATAAGTTTCAGAAAGGTCATTTTGGGTATCTTTAAGCAAAATGTCTACAGAAGTTTCAGACATTTTGGGTATCTTTAAGCAAAATGTCTACAGAAAACTATCTAGGACACTTTGGCCAGCCTCAGTGATACCAAATCTTTCCCTTTTTTCCTTTTTGTTTTTGGGCCACATCTGGTGGTGCTTAAGAGTTAATCCTAACAGGTCTCAGAAGACCATATGTTATGACGGGGCTTTACAGAAAACAAATCTTTCCCTTTTTTCCTTTATGTTTTTGGGCCACATCTGGTGGTGCTTAAGAGTTAATCCTGACAGGCCTCAGGAGACCATATGTTATGATGGGGCTTTACACATCAGCTGCCTGCAAAGTAAGCACCTTACACTTTGTACCTTCAAGCCACCTTTCCAGAGTTTGTTTTTTTGGTTCTTCATCGGCTCCATGAAGGCTAGGCCCAAGGATCTAGTAGACAAGTGAATTTTTGGACGCATTCTAACGATGATTAGCATAAATAAATGTAACATTAAAAATAGGTAAACTTATATAAGTCTGAAATAATGTATATAACATAATTTTCAATATCCTCTCCAAGATACCAACGAATAGTAAATTGGTCAGCATAAGCTATCTTCCCCACTGCTCTTCACCTCAAAGCATAAAGAAGAAAATTATTTTTATAATTTGCATTATAGACACAACTGTTTGAAACTTAACAGATTGATAATTTATTTTTATGAAAATTTCAACTCATTTAGCTAATTGATTTTAAAGTATCACTTATTAATAACTTCTTCTTTAAGTTTCTCTGCAAGCAATCTCCTCTTTAATAATGTTTGCTTCTCCTCTGCTGTCATTTCTGGTTTCTCTGTCATTTCCTTTAAAAAGAAAAAAATTTGGCTATAATAAAATCTGTTTGTCTCAACATTTCCAACATACTACCTTGTCAAAGATTAGGGCATTTTTGGTAAGTAACAAAAAGCACAAACACATGGAGTGGGTTCCTAAATATCTGAAGAAGCCTCTTAGAAGCGATAACTAAGTTACCACCGATGCTGCTTTATATGAAAATCATTCAAAACGCTGAGATTGAATAGACTGCTGACCCTTGCATACTCAGAATCGGGTAAGTTAAAAGCAACTTTAAAATGAGTATAATGAAACTTACTGCGATGATACTTAAAAAAAATCACTGCTTATTAAAAAAAGCTTCTAATAGGTTTTTATATGGCTAAATCTGTAACATTCAGTTTGAAGGTTTTCTTGCATATACCTTGACTATTCTGCTTCTAGATTTGCAAATCTTGACATGGTTAGATATACCTCTACATCCTCAGAAGGTTGTTCTTTCTGCTCTGAGTTTTGTATCTGCTTAGTTCTCAATTCCTTTCTCATGGACATTAGCTTATCTCTCTTCTGCTTGAGATAGTGTTCTCGTTGTCTGAGCTCTTCAGTTCCAAGTGCAGATAAATTCTATGGGGGGGGGGGAGGGATGATTTAAGTTCAAGTCAGTATATTAAGTGGCATAGATACTCACTGATAATTATGATAATTAGAAGTATGAGTTCAGATCAGAATAAAAGCCAAGTATATTACTGATTGCATTGTTCATTCTAATTTATCATTTTGTTTATAGTTCTTAAAAAGTAATGTCATTTTTGTTGATTTTGAGCCACACTTAGCAGGACTCAGGACTTATGTTTCTGCACTAAGGGATCACGTCAGCCATTGTGAGGAACCATATATGGTGCCAGCATTAGAACCCGGGTCAGTGGCATGCAAGACAAGCCCATACCCACTGTACTACTCCAGCCCCCAAAAGTAATGTCCTTTACTTACTGCTATTGATCCTTCAATGCTTGCATGTTCTGAGCCAGGAGTTTTCAGGCCTTTTTGTGGCAAGGAGGAAGTTTCAGGCAGTAATTCCAACTTTCTTGTCAAAGGTTGTACTGACTGATTCCCAAGTTGAATTTGACTTTCTATCATTAAGATAAAGACTAATCAGAATACTGTAAAAATGAGCAAGCTTCAGGCTCGATTTACCAAAATGAGCTAGTGTTAATATTTGTCTTTTTTTCTTCACAATTCTCTCTTCTTTATCAATGTGAGATTAACATAAGGTTTCTTATACCCACCAACACCTACTAAATCTGTGCCAGATGAAAGATTATCTATGGTACCTGTCCCTCAGGGCTTTACATTCTCTTGAAAATTGGCTTTTCAACAAATACCAAGCTCCTGTAAATAAGGTACCATTATCAAAAAATTAAAAAAATTCTTAAGCAGATGTAACATGTAACTCAGTACTAGATCCCTTGCCTTGCATGCATGAGGCCCTGGGTTAAGCTCTAACCTCCCCCCAATAAATTATATATCACTTCACTTAATCACTTAATCCCCGTTATTCATCGATTTATTCGAGCGGGTGCCAGTAACGTCTCCATTCATCCCGGTTGCGTGCTAGCGTAGCCCAATGGTATCTGTTCGTTTTAGGAACATGTAGAGCCTCAAACCGATCATTTAGGGTCTTGACGAAGAAGTCTGACCATCTTATAGGTGGGCGTCCACGTGATCTTTTGATGTCTCGTGGAATCCAATCAGTAATGGCTCTAGTCCAGCGGTTGTCTGTAAACCTCATTACATGTCCAGCCCATCTGATTTTTGATTTTTTATATTTATTTATACATATATAAATAAAGATTAGAAGTACACTATGATGTAAAATAAGGTTGACACAAAAAACAGTACAACTATTGTTTAGTAAACCAATATGATTTGTAAACTTTTATCTGCAGGTGACTTCAGAACAAGATACAGCTACATTTTTTACTATTAGAAAAGCAAGTGCCAATAATACCAGTAAACTATTCCTTGAACTAGTAAAGTCTAAATATACAAAAACATTAAGAAAATTAGTATTTCCAAGTATCAACTTTGGAAGCAGATTTAAGTATGAAGTGCTTTACAAAATTTGTTAACTGTGCCAAGAGATAGAATTAACATGTAGCTAAATGCTATATCTATATATAGCTAAATGCTGTATCTATACCATTTTTCAATGTAAGCACATGGACTATTAAAGACAGTGGCAGAGTCACAAAAAAAATGACATCAAGAGCTAAAAACATGAAGAGAATATGATATACATGCCTCCAAATTCTAAATTCTTGCATAATAAAACCCCAAGTCAAACTTTTTAGCAAAAAGTCTGATAAGAGCAATACATTAGCACCTTGCTTGTTAAAATATATAGAGACATAGGGCTGGAAAGATAAGAGCTGTGCTTGTCTCTTGTCTTCCATGCAGCCAACTTGGGTTCCATCCCCAGCACCCCATAAGATTTCAGGAGCCCCTCCAGGAGTGATCCCTGAGTACAGAACCAAGAGCACTGAGCATAGCCAGATGCAGCCCAACAATAAAAGTGTGTGTGTGTATGTGTGTGCATAACAATGTGGGGGTGGTAAAACCTCTTAATTTTTTTCATGATTATCAGTAAATACTCGGTTTATTTCATATACCTATAAAGTCGAGGTCACATAAAAATTTCACTGGCATTACTCGCGGGATACAAAAAGGGGACACAAGTGGAAATATTTTCTGCTTTAGCATAAGATAAATGGACTGATCATAGTGCCAGGGAACTGGACAAAGTTCTTAAGACCCTGGGAAGTCTCCATAGAAGAAAAGGCTGCAGCTAACACTTCAATATATCTAAGAAGCTACAGAACAAACAGAAAATTGGACAACATTAAAAGTTAAACATGAAGCTATAGCTCAAAGGACTAAGTGCATGCTTTTGTATTCAGGAGACCCAAGTTTAATACCCCAAACTGCATGGTGTCCTAAGTACGTCCAGGAGCAACTTTCATGCACAGAGCTGGGAATAAGTCCCAATGAGGGAGACTCTCCCTCTACTCAAAAAAAAAGTTAAAACAGTAAATGTTACTGATAAAATTTTGAAGGTTTGAGTGCCCAAATATGGAAGCGCAAAGTTAAAGTGATTTCTGAGAAAGAGGGAACCTTAGCACAAACAAATTTATATTTAATTCACAGACTTGCACTGGACAGTTCATGTCTTGAGTTTGTTATGAACATCTTGTATATTGATCAGACCTAGTTAGGAAAATCACTTGATCACTTGATATCCCGTTATTCGTTGATTTGCTCAAGCGGGCGCCAGTAATGTTTCCATTTGTCCCTGTTGTGTGCTAGTGTAGCCCAATGGCATCTGCTCGTTCTAAGAGCACAAAGAGCCTCAAACCGATCGTACAGGGTCTTAACGAAGAAGTCTGACCATCTCATGGATGGGCGCCCACACGGTCTTTTGACATCCTATGGAATCCAGTCTGTAACGGCTCTAATCCAGTGTCGTCTCCAAATCTCATTATGGGTCCAGCCCATCTGATTTTCGACACCTTAGTAAATGAGACAGCGTCCCTGATTCTTTTTTTGTGTGTGTGCATAGATTACTTTTCTTTTAATTTTTATTAGTGAGACATCATGAGGTACAGTTGAGGCTTACAAATTTTTGTGCCTGGGTTTCAGTTATACAATGATCAAATACCCATCCCTCCACCAGTGCCCATTTCTCACCACCACGGATCCCAGTATCCCTCCCACCCCCCATTTCCCCATCCCACCCTGCCTCTGTGGCAGGGCATTCCCTGATTCTTGGCCTTTGATGGAAGTCGGAACTAAGGATTCTTTCTCTCATTTGAGTGAAACGTGATACTCCAAGCATACTTTGGGAGACCCGAATAGCGTTCTCATCCAATAGCATTCTCATCTATTCTCATCCTGCTTTCGTAGGGCCCAGGTCTCTGAGGCATATGTTAATGCAGGAAGAACAGTGGAATCAAAGAGATGTGCCCTGAGCTGGAGGTTCTTCGTCCTCTTAGCTATTTCTTCAATTCTCTTGAAGGCGTTCCAAGCTGCTCTCTTCCTCCTGCGCAACTCAGGTGCCAGGTCATTCATCATGTTGACTTCTCAACCTACATACACATAACTGTTGCAATAGGAGATGGTCGTTCTGTTGAGAGCTAATGGAACGTCAGGAACGAGACTGTTCTCATAAACATTGTCTTCGTGAGATTCAGCTGGAGTCCGACCATTACACACTCATGGTCGAAGTCAGCCAGTATTTGTGCTGCTTGGCTAAAGTCTGGTGTTATTAGAACGATGTCGTCAGCAAAGCGGAGGTGGTGTAGTTGCCGACTGTCTATCTTCACTCCCATTCCTTCCCATTCCAGTCGTCACATGACATTCTCGAGGGTGGCACTGAAGAATTTGGTGAAATGGTATCACCCTGCCAAACCCCTCTCTTGACATGGTGATCACTTCTTTGTAGAATGGTGAGATCCTGGTAGTGAATCCATAATACAGCTCACAGAGGATCCTGATGTATTGAGTTTGAATGCCCCAATTGACTAGGGCTTCAATGATCGCTTCTGTCTTAACAGAATCAAAGGCATTCTTTAAATCAATGAACATTAGACAGAGAGGCATCTTGAACTCCCGAGAAACCTCAATGAGCTTAATTATCGTGTGGATATGGTCGATCATGCTGAATCCTTTGCAGAACCCAGCTTTCTCGCATGGTTGTCCTTCATCTAGTGTTCTGCCAATCCTATTCAGGATGACTCAAGTGTACAACTTGTAGATGACAGACAATAGGCAGATTGGGTGATAGTTGCCAATGTCATGGATGTCTCCCTTCTTGTACAGTAGTACAGACCTGCTGGTTTTCCATTGGGACAGAACCTTGCATTCAGATAGGTAGCATGTGAAGAGCCAAGCTAGTGTATTGATGAGTACTGATGGCAGGTTCTTCAGGTGTTTGGATCTGACCTTGTCTGGGCCAGGTGCTGTTCGTTTCTTTACTGACAAAATGGCTTGTCAGGTTTCGGAAGGGAGAACGTTGGGAACGACATGTCCATCCTGCAGAATTTGGTATGTAGGCAGGTGGACGTGGCTATCAAAGAGATCTGAGTAAAAGTCCTAGATAATCTTCTCCTTTGCCCTTCTGGAAGATGTGAAAGATTCATCAGGACGTTGGAGGGCAGTCATCTTGGTCTTGTAGTAGGCGAAGAACAGGCGGGCATTGCGAATGCTTTTCCCAGTTTCTGCTGCATCTACCAGCACTGCTGCTCTTCTCTCTTTGAGGTCTTCCTTTATCACTTCTCTGCACTGCTTTGCAAGCCCGGACATTTGCTTGTGGTTGCCTGAGGCATACGCAAAGCCACATTGGCGAATAAGCTCAAGAGTTTTCGAGGAGAGGCGGTTTTTTGTGGCTATCTCTTTTGGCTTTCCTCGCACAATCATGGAGGTGATGAACCAGTCAATCATATTCCTCATCAATGGTGTCAATGATGACATCTTCCCATATTACATCAATAGTACCAAAGAGCTCCCAGTTGGTGGTCGTTCTGGGAGTTCTCTTCTTAAACTTTGTGTCCCTTTTTCTCTGCTCTGTGAAGTAAAATTTTGCACAAAGGAGTCGGTGGTCCGATCCCGTTTGGAATTTTGGGACAACAGCGACATCAGCCAGGCAAAACCATCAATTGAATATGATGTGTTCAATTTCGTTGTGGAACCGTTCACCGGGAGAATCCATGTCCAACGTTTAGCATTTGGCCTTCTGGATCTGTGAGTTACCATGGATGGTCTTGGTCGACATGATGAACTCAGACAGTCTCTCACCCTGTTTGTTCCATTCTAGGCCATGGGTCACGATGTGGAGTTCTTAGGCTAATCTTCTCGGTCCTAACATGGCATTAAAATCACCAATAGTGATCTTGTAGAAGGTGTGGTCTTCTTTATACAACTTATCCAGCTCCATGTAGAACTTCTCAATTTCTCCTTTATCATAATTGGATGTTCGTGCATAGACAAAGAAGACAGAAACTGCCGGCACTGAGCCACATCTATTCAAGTGTAATCATCCGATTCAGGTTGTTAGGCATTAGAATGAATCAATGCTCATGGCCAAGTTCGTGTTGACAAGGACACCAACACCACCGACACCTCTTTTGTTGCATGTTCCGAGGAACAGTTCTTCTCCAGTGTCGAAAACAGCATGATGTGATTGATGCCTTCTTGTCTCGGTCAGACCAATGATGTCATACTTAATCTTTCGCGCTTGTACCGTCAGGTCTTTGATGGATGCATCTGATGCCAGCGTACGTGCAGTGAAAGTAGAGACAATCATTTTTTTCTTTCTTCGTTGACAAGAAACTAGTTTGGACTTGAGATTTTATCAGATTCTCCTTCTATATCCTTCTCAACGTTGCCATATTGGTGGCTCCTTCAGGCTCAGGGTAATGATACCCATTGTATTTACTGGTTTTGGCATTTTGAATACGCCACAGATAGCTTGCCAGCTCTGTCGTGCAGGCAGGATGCTCTCGGTAGCATGCCAGACTCTCCGAGAGGGATAGAGGCTTTTGGGGCGGCCTCTAATCGCCCTTGTAGGTGTTCCCATGGTTCAAACCATATTTGAACCCTATCAAATATGGTGCGGCAATCCTGGAAGATGGGTATTAATTGTCTTATGATGTGTAGCGCGGCTGCAAAGTGGCTGCGCAGTCCAGAAAGTGTCCTGTAGTGTGGTGGCAGCTGGATATTGGAGGTAGAGAGGGGTTCAAGAGAGGGGTTCGGCATGGTGATACCATTTCACCAAAACTCTTCAGTGCCACCCTCGAGAATGTAATGCGATGACTGGAAATGGAAGGAAGGGAGTGAAGATAGACAGTCGGCAACTACACCACCTCCGCTTTGCTGATGACATCGTTCTAATAACATCAAACATTAGCCAAGCAGCATAAATGCTGGCCGACTTCGACCATGAGTGTGTAAAGTTCGGACTCCAGCTGAATCTCACAAAGACAATGTTTATGAGACAGTCTCGTTCCTGACATTTCATTAGCTCTCAATAGAACGACCAACTCCGAATGCAACAGTTATGTGTACGTACATCAAGAAGTCAACATGATGAATGACCTGGCACCTGAGTTGCGCAGGAGGAAGAGAGCAGCTTGGAACGCCTTCAAGAGAATTGAAGAAATAGCTAAGAGGACGAAGGACCTCCAGCTCCGGGCACATCTCTTTGATTCCACTGTTCTTCCTGCATTAACATATGCCTCAGAGACCTGGGCCCTACGAAAGCAGGATGAGAACAGATGACAACGCTATTCAGGTCTCCCAAAGAGGAATCAAAAGAGCTATGCTTGGAATATCAAGTTTCACTCAAATGAGAGAAAGAATCCGGAGTTCCGACCTCCTTCGACGATCAAGAATCAGGGACGCTGTCTCGTTTGCCAAGGTATCAAAAATCAGATGGGCTGGACACATAATGAGATTTGGAGATGACCACTGGACTAGAGCCATTGCTGACTGGATTCCATGGGATGTCAAAAGATTGCTTGGCTGCCCACCTATGAGATGGTCAGACTTCTTCGTCAAGACCCTGATTGATCGGTTTGAGGCTGTTTGTATTCCTAGAATGAGCAGACGCCATTGGGCTATACTAGTACACGAAAGGGACGAATGGAAAGGTTACTGGCACCTGCTCGAGCAAATTGATGAGTAACGGGAAGTGATCAAGTGATCTCTGATTTCTTGGAAAGAATCATAAAATCAACAAAACTTAAAGATCATCTTATTTCTGGAAATTCTTTTCACCAAATGCTACCAAATGTTAGAAATGCTACCCATTTCTAACAGGAACCAGACAAAGACTTGAACAAAGGGACAAACAGGAGGCAAAACTCTTTTCTTCCTAGATGGCTTCTATCACTTTGCATAAAATGACTTCCTGGAATAGCATATACACATTTTTAAAATAAAATGCTTCTAAAAATTAGTATCAATACTTTTGAAATTATCTACCACTTAGTTTATGCCATAAAAGCCCATAACTGTGGTATTTATGGCTTGAGATAAAGTTTTCATTTGAGGGGCTTAAGTTATAACACAGCAGGTAGCACATGCAAGTTAAGATGCTTGCTTGCCTTGCATGCAGCTGACCTGGGTTAGATCTCTCAGGCACCCTACAAGGTTCACTGAGCAATGCCAGGAGTAATTTCTCAGTGTGGAGCCAGCAGTAATTTCTGAGATTGCTGGATGTGGCCCAAAACCAAAAATACATATATAAATTTTTCACTTAACAAGGAGCTAGGAAAGGCAAATTTATTCTAATTATACCAGACTCAACATTTACTTTTCCCTTCTTTAATGGAAGCAAACATAACACGACATACACCATAACCATGCCACTGGACCTGCAACAGGATGTATCATTTGGGGTGCCACAGAAAGAGGCGGGTGAGACCCCTCCCTGCCCCAAGGGACCCAGCCCTGGTAGCTGAAAACCTCCAGAACTCCACCAGAAAACCGCCACCATGCTCATAGCCACTCTCCACATGCTTGGGCTGAGCCTCACCCAGAAGGATATGTATTTCTGGACCATATGGCCGCAAATCCAACAAGTCATACCTCACACCACCCATACTCCAAGAGTACCGCACCACATTTGATGGGGCTTAAAGTAGGAGGCAACCACTCTTAGTGGGAAATATTTTTTATAGATACACATATATATTATATACATATTATAGATATATATATATCTATAAAAGTACACAAGGTTCAACCTTAAAAAACATGCTAGTGATCTCTTATAGAAGAGCTTAATGGCGCCTGGGTGATATACAATAACCTTCACACTCTTTCCTCTAAGGAAACTTTTTTAGAGAATTTTTAGCAGTTTTTCATAACAAACAATACAAAATAATTTTTTTTGGTTTTGCTTTGGGGCAGGGGTTGAGGTTTGGGATGGAAACATGCAAAATATAGTGTGTTAAGGTGTAATGGTGGTGGGATTGGTGTTCGAATATTAAATGTAATCAAATATTATGAACTACATTAAAATTTAAGGAAATTTTTATGAAAAGACAAACTTTTGTTTACTTGGTTATGCATAAAATCCAAAGCTACTTTTGGTCTAGAAAATTTTAAAAGAACTTAGAGCAATCAACAGCAGGTGCTTTCAAAAAGACAATTCAAAACAGGCTACTCACAATTATAAAAAGAAGAAATAATTAAACTTGCTAGCAATGCACTGTAGCACTGTCCACCTGTTGTTCATTGATTTGCTTGAGTGGGCCCAGTAACATTTCCATTGTGAGACTTGTTATTACTGTGTTTGGCATATCTAATATGTCACGGGTAGCTTGCCAGGCTTTGCCATGCAGGCGAGATACTCTGGTAGCTTGCTGGGCTCTCCGAGAGGGACAGAGGAATCGAACTCGGGTCGGCCGGGTAGGCCATGTGCAAGGCAAACACCCTACCTGCTGTGCAACCACTCCAGTCCAAAGGGCTTAGTAATTAAAAAAAAATTTTAAATGACTCAATTTTCTTAAATGTATTACTTAAAAAAAATAGGAACTGGAGAAATACTACAGGAAGTAAGATGCTTATCTTGTTTATGGCAGACTCCATCTCAGTCCTAGTACCACATGATCCCCCAAGCATGCATGAACGCAGCCTTAGAGGCCCATGGAAAACTACCGTGGTTTTCCTGGGTATCCCAGCACTTCAGAATCCTCACACTGAAACTGTTCTCAGGTTGGCCCCCAGGCTTCCTGTGCACTACTCAGAAGACCCAAAGGAAATAAATAAAAAAAAAAAATCAAGGTAAAATAAAAATCAGGGTCATAATGCTACATCATAGTTATCCTTTTTTTTAACTGGTAAGGAGAGATTTTTTAATGATCATGAATTCATGATGATCATTCAATTTGTTTCTGAATTTTCTTGTGGAGAAAACTAGAGTGTAGAGTAAGTGAATTTATAACATATTGAATAAGTTCATGCAATAACATTTCCCCATAAAGATTCTTGTGGATTTGGGTTTAAGGATAGTTCTACCTAAGAATCTGGTTGAGAGTGCTACATCTTATTTTCCAATCTGTTTTAATTCACTATCAAAGTAAACATGTTTTGAAGTTTAGTGTCTAACTCACAATCTTCACATAATTATGGTCAAGAATGAAAATACCAAATATGGGATTTTGTAGGCTGCAACCTTGCACACAGACTGACGGTGACTTTCTCAAGGAATCTAACACACTCTGGGTTCCAGTCTTTGCTTAGAAATTTCAAGACTATACCTTGTCAGCTGGGTATTTCCTACCAGCTACCCCTTTAACTAAATACACAAAAAACTTTAATAACAGTGACTATTCAACACTCTCTTCTTTATAACAAATTCTTTATAACAAATTGTTTCAAAAACTACCTGGTTTTTGACAGTACAGATATATGAGAAAGTATCCTCTCAATACAACGTTCCTATATCCTATTAAAGAAAGTTCAGTACAAGGCAACCTTACCTGAGGGTGGGTGTGCACACTGTCCATCTCTTTGAGAACTATTCATTATTGTAGCTTCACTAGCATGCACTGGGGGCTCTTCTGTTGGAGCCTCTGACAACTTCAGAAATTCAGAATAAAATTTTTAAGAAATTTGTTAATTTTGAAAATTGACTACTTAAACGGGCCAAACACATTAGTTTTTAAGTTTTATTTTCTACTTTTAAAAAGATAATGAACAAGAGATTCTCTTTTAATGAAGTTCTTAAAATGTTTCAAGCATTTAAAATATGCATTTAAGATTCTCCCTATTTCAAAGCATGCAATGAATACTAACAGTAACTAGCATGGTTATGACTTTAACCTTATCATGTGAGTGATTTCCCTGTGACACTGAGCAAAGTAACAAACATTGTAACAGAAACAGAATTATAAAGTGCCTTTCCTCTTGAAATAATCTATTTACCACTATCAGGATATGCCTTAGGTAACCACAAACAGACTTATTTTCATTTCTTAAGAGGATTCATATACTGAAGCCAAAAACACCACTAAAATTTTGAGTGAAAAAAAAACTCTAATAAGCATATTAATTTATTAATTACTAAAGAACAAAAATCCAATTGCCTGTAACTTTTAGGTAATTAATGAATATTTGTATTCATACATTATTTCATATCATACTCTTCCATAAACTGGGTTATACATGAGAATTTGTTTTTATCAACTTGATTTTCTTGTGTTTAAAATTTCCTTAATAGCTTTAAAATGAAAAATATAGGGGCCGGAGCGATAGCATAGCAAGTAGTGCGTTTGCCTTGCATGTGGCTGACATGGGTTCGATCTCCGGCATCCCATATGGTCCCCCAAGCACCGCCAGGAGTAATTCCTGAATGCAGAGCCAGGAATAACCCCTGAGCATTGCTGGGTGTGACCCAAAAAGCAAAATAAATAAATAAATAAAATGAAAAATATATTCCCCTAAATTCTAATAACATCATTATTTCAGAAGCCTAACATAGTGACTTAGAAGGTAGTGTTAATGTCTTCTGGTAATAATTCTGAACTGGTTTCTTTTCTGTATACCTTACATTAGTGATATTTATTATTAACAAAAATTTTCATACAAAGATATAGAAATAATTTCATCCTAAAATATTTCTTAAAACTTGTATTCTCTTTGGGGGAACCTAACCCATGGCTTCACATATACACAGCATGTACCCTACCATTAGCACATGCCCAACCAAAACATCTCTTTCTATTCTTCATTGGTTACCCTCCAGTAAAAAAGGTTTTCTCAAAGACTGTTAATGACACAAGCATGTAACACAATGATTAGAGAAGAAAAAAAGGAAATTGTACAGTGACAGAGAGCTAGATTATAGCAGGGTTTCCCTTTTCCTTCAGGAGATTTGGGGAAATATGCAAATAGGCAACTAGGAAAGGGAAAAAAATAATATTGGGTTCTCTCAACTCAACAACGTACGTGTTGAATTTATCCTGAGGAAAGAATAGACACTTTATGGAAGTAATTCCTAAAGAAAGAATATGCCAGGAAATGTGATGTGGAATAATTCTGCTACAGACTGATAAAGCCTGAAGGGGCCCTTTACTAGTAATTGCAGTTGCTGTTTCAAAACAATAAAGGAGTCAGGGGACTGGGAAAGCAAAACTTTCTCTTTTTATTTGATTGTTTGGGGACCACATTCAGCAGTGCCCAGGGATTACTCCTGACTATGAAACTCGGGAATTACTCTGGTAAGTGGATGGGGGAACCACAGAGGATGCAGAAATCTAATGTGGGTAGCTGTGTGCAAGGCAAACGCCCTACTAGCTATACTATCGTTCAGCCCCTGAAACTTTCTTTTATGTATAAAATTCCTCATTTTTATGAGAAATTATCTATAGTAGGAATGGTGTCTTAATTTTTTTTAATTACCCTGTTTTTATCAAAAAATTAAAAGGTAGGTTGCAGGATGAATTATAAAATGCACAAAGTCAAGTATAAATGCTAGAACTATTAAAAAAATATGAATACCCTAAAGAACCATGTACTTCCACATAAGCTTAAACTTCTAATAGAAAAAACTAGGTGTAAACTTGAGATAACAATGAAATACTCCTACATTACTATCCTGTATATATACCTGCTTTTTTCTCTTCCTTTCTTCTTCCTGGTCGTACTCCTCTTTTGATTTTCTGAAATATACAAAAATAAGATAGAAAGTAATCAGGTTATTTTATTTTGTTTTTTGTCGAAGAACTAATATTCTTGGGGGAGAGAAGTAAACACCGGTGAAGTCATTGGTGGTGGAACACTGTGTGTCTGAAACTTTATAAAACTTTGTGACTCTGTAGTTCATACGGATTTGATTTAGAAAAAAAACTAATATTCGTACAATTAACATGCTAATATAAACTTATCACATACGAGGAAATTTGTAAACATAGATGGAAAATATAAGCCTTACTTAGAAATTTATAATCAATTGAAAATGACATATATATAAGCATACATAAAATAATTAAGATCACTTGATCACTTGATCTCCCATTATTCATTGATTTACTCGAGCGGGTGCCAGTAACATCTCCATTCATCCCTGTTGCATGCTAGTGTAGCCCAATGGCATCTGTTCGTTCTAGGAACGTGCAGAGCCTCAAACCGATCATTCAGAGTCTTGACGAAGAAGACCATCTTGGTGTGACCATCTTGTACGTGGGCGTCCACACGATCTTCTGGCGTCCCGTGGAATCCAGTCAGTAATGGCTCTAGTCCAGCGGTTTTCTGTAAACCTCATTACGTGTCCAGCCCATCTGATTTTTGATGCCTTGGCAAATGAGACAGCGTCCCTGATTCTTGAGCATTGACGGAGATCAGAACTCCGGATTCTATCCCTCATTTGAGTGAAGCGTGATATTCCAAGCATAGCTCTTTTGATTCCTCTTTGAGAGACCCGAATAGCGTTCTCATCCTGTTTTCGTAGGGCCCAGTTCTCTGAGGCATATGTTAATGCAGGAAGAAGAGTGGAATCAAAGAGATGTGCTCGTAGCTGGAGGTTCGTTGTCCTCTTAGTTATTTCTTCAACGCTCGTGAAGGCATTCCAAGCTGCTTTCTTCCTCCTGCGCAACTCAGGTGCCAGGTCATTCATCATGTTGATTTCTCGACCGAGGTATATATAACTGTTGCATTCGGAGATGGTGGTTCCATTGAGAGCAAATGGAGCGTCAGGAATGAGGCTGGTTCTCATAAACATTGTCTTTGTAAGATTCAGCTGTAGTCCGACCTTTCCACACTCACGGTCGAAGTCGTTCAGCATTTGTGCCGCTTGGCTGATGTTTGGTGTTATTAGAATGATGTCATCAGCAAAGCGGAGTAGGTGTAGTTGCCAACCATCTATCTTCACTCCCATTCCTTCCCATTCCAGTCGTCGCATGATGTTCTAAAGGGTGGCACTTAAGAGTTTTGGTGAAATGGTATCACCCTGCCGAACCCCTCTCTTGACATGGTGATTACTTCTTTGTAGAATGGTGAGATCCTGGTAGTGAATCCATAATACAGCTCACGGAGGATCCTGATGTATTGAGTTTGTACGCCCTGATTGGCTAGGGCTTCAATGACTGCTTCCGTCTCAACAGAATCAAAGGCCTTCTTTAAATCAATGAACGTTAGACAGAGCGGCATCTTGAACTCTTGAGAAACCTCAATGAGCTTAGTTATCGTGTGGATATGGTTGATGGTACTGAATCCTTTTCGGAAACCGGCGTGTTCACATGGTTTTCCTTCATCTAGTGTTCTGCCAATCCTATTCAGGATGACATCTCACCCTGCCTCTGTGGCAGGGCATTCCCTTTTGCTCTCTCTCTCCTTTTGGGTGGTGTGGTCTGTAAAAGAGGCACTGAGTGGCAATCATGTTCGGTCCATAGTCTACTTTCAAAATGCATCTCCCATCCTGGGAGGATCCACCAAATACCCTTTATTTGATGCTCCCTTCTCTATCTGAGCTGCCCTTTCCCCTAGAATGCCCAGCTGGCCTCTAAGCCATGGAGTAACCCTACTGGTACTGATCTCTGCTTGAATACAATTCTTAACTGGGCGTGCCCTTAACTGGGCGTGTCCTTTCAAGATTATATTACCAAATATCCTTATTATCAATATCCTTACCGCTTCAACCCTTTAATATAAGCTATTCTTTTTTTGTCTCGAGCAAATTTGTCTCCTTCTCACAAACACTCAAATTCCCTGAAATTAGCATTAAGTCCTGGAGATCCTTCCACAGTTATTTTCTTAACCCATCTTGAGAAAGTTACACTCTGTCACGCCTCTCTTTTGCTTTGGAGTTGGGATCAAAGTAGATCAATTAGAGCAGGGAGGTTCAGGGTGCTAGAAGACAGTCCTTTATGTTTACAGCTGGGAGTATGCCCAAGGGTCAAGGTCCAATCTGCAGATGACACAGCGGGTATAGGTCTTGTACCCTATTACCCTATTCTATATTCTCACAGGAGAGCTAAAAAGTAGGTTTTTTTTTTCTTTTTAGGTCACACTTGGCAATGCACAGAGGTTACTCCTGGCTCTCCACTCAGGAATTACCACTGGCGATGCTCAGGAGAACCCAAGGGATGCTGGGAATCGAACCCAGTTTGGCCGAGTGCAAGGCAAATGCCCTATCCACTGTGCTATTGCTCCAGGCCCCAAAAAGGTGTTTTAATTGCCCATCCTTTCTAAAACTCCCATAGGGATTCAGAGAACAATAGGTTCAAGGTACAAAAGATATGCCTCAGGCCAATGTAATAATACTGGGGTAAGGTGCTTTCCTTGTACAAGGCTGACCCAAGTTCGATTCCCAGCACCCCATATTGTCCTCTGGAACCACCAGGAATGATTCCGGAGTGCAGAACCAGGAGTAACTCCTAAGCATCTTAGGAACATTTCAAGCCTTGCCTAGCATCTGGCTGACACTCAAGCAACTGGGGTAAGGAAAATACTGACAAATCATCTCAAATCAAAGTTTTCAACTTGCCTCTCTCTCTTTCAGGCTACACGTCACCATTTAGCCATTTGGTTTGCATGGTCTATATGTAAAGCCTCCTAAACCCTCAGTTCAGCTACCTCTAATACAGGGATCCAGAAGTCACAAAGTATCCTTCCTAGCTCAGCTAAAGCCAGTACAACCCTTTCCAGGACCAGCCAGGTCTACAGCAAATTATCATTGGTGGCTAGTTTCCCATTCTCATTATGGCAGTGATAAGACATTCCCATTTGGGCTGACTGTCTACAGGTGACATGAAGTATTTTTTTCTGCCCATTAAGAAATATGCATAGTTACAAAACAAACATACATAGTTACAAAACAAGTCATTTTGACCTTCATGAGAGAATTTAGATTTACTAGTTCACAGTACTTGGAGAGGTCTGAAAAACATAGATATAGATCACATTAAAATAGTATCATTTATTCAAAATATAATTAGAGAAGAATACCTAAGAACTTCCCTCAGGATTTTCATTTCTTCCTGTTCAAGGTCACTGACTACATCTGAACCATCCGTTAAGCAGTCAGGTAGCACACCTGTTCAAAGCCAAAGAGCACATGGAAGAATGTCAAGTCAACATTTCTTTCTTTCCACTACAATTCATCAAGAATTACAGACATATTTATGAAGATCCATAACTTTAAAACTTTGCTCTAAGGAGTGGAGAGATAGTACAGGGGATAAGGTGCCTGCCTTGCACATGGTCAGTCTGGGTTCGATCCCAGGTACCAGGTACATGGTCCAACTCTGTATATGCTGCCCCAAGAACTGTCAGGAGTGATCCCTGAGGACACAGTCAGAGTAAGCCCTAAGCATAACTGGGTGTGACCCCAAAACATAAATAGGTTTGCATATATACATATTTATGTATGTGTGTATGAATATATGGAGATATACATATACTTCACTATCTTCTTATGTATGGTATTTTAAACTTTTTCTTATTTTAGGGAAACAGTCCCATCAAAAAACACAAAAATTTATGGAGTAATGACTCAGTAAATACGTGTACTGCCTATTAAAGTAACAATAAAATTTCAATAAACTTAATATAACTATTATCATCCATAATCATATGCTTTCTGAATGTAGACCACTGAAACCATTAAGTTCCTAATAATGAAATTATGATCTCAAACAAAATAAGACATAAAATTATTTCAATAAAACATCAGGTTAATAGCGCCATTCAGACAATAACAAATACTACTTTTAAAAAAGGACTATGCTTACTACATGTAAAAAAGCAAATTGCCAAGTATTTAATTTTTTTGGTTTTGGGTTTACACCGGCTGTTGCTCAGGACTTATTCCTGACTGCACTCAGGAATCACTCTTGGTGGTGCTCAGGGACTATATGGGATGCTGGGGATCGAACCCAAGTCAGCAGCATGCAAGGTAACCACCCTACCCAGTGTACATCTCTCCAGCCCTAGCACCGAGATCTATATTTCAGATGAATGTAAAGATCAATAAATCAGTCTATGGAATCAGAGTTCCTATTTATATATAGTTCTAATAAACATAAACCAAACCAACACTAACTTCTGCCCAAAGCAAATAACTTTAAGTATTAAAAACAGTATAGAAGAGAATTTACTTTATTGTCTCGTTATCTCCTTGTTAAGAAGGCAGAGTGGTAATATGCTCAGTGTATATCTATAATTATATAACCTCAATATTAGGAGCATGTTTCTTAAATTTTATCTTCCATTTGAGCTCCAGCCCACTGAGCTACTGTTCCAGCCCACTTTTCTATTTCTTTCTAGTTCTTTTCCATTTGTTAGCATGTCGTGTACTTGAACTGCATGTGATATCTTGATACAGAACATCCAAGTTTCTAACCTCCTTGTTAATGTACTATCACTTCTGCAACCCATTTTTTTAAATCTGTTTCAGATGTCTGGCTCTGAGCAAAGGACCACACAGGTGTAAAGTTATAGAGCCAGACATCTCTCACTAGTAGAGATAACACTACTCTATCCTTGAATGACTCATGACACTGTTCTGTTGCTTTGGTGTGAATAAATTCAAAAAAGAATCTCTTTAACTCTTTAGCCAGTATGCTTTATAAAAATTCATGTCCTCTGAATTTTCCTGAAACTCTACTTTCTTCTGGTTTATGGAATACAGATTTCGAATACTTATTTAAAGGTAAAGGTAAAGGTAAAGGCCCTCCCGTTGATCGTCGATTTGCTCAAGCGGGCCCAGTAACGTCTCCATTGGAGACTTTGTTGTTACTGTGTCTGGCATATCGAATACTTTCGGTAGCTTGCCGGGCTCTCCGAGAGGGGAGGAGGAATCGAACTCGGGTCGGCCATGTTGGCCGCTTGTAAGGCGAACGCCCTACCCGCTGTGCTATCGCTCCAGCCCTTATACTTATTTAAGTTAATCAAAAAAACTTATAGGATCAATTTTGCTAAATAGGTACTTGATCTTGGTCCCTGGGCAGAAAGGGTGAGAAGAGATGGAGAGGGATGGGCAGAGAAAGGTAGGAGAGGGGAGTGGAGGGGAAAGAAAAGAGAAAGAACAGAGGAAAAGAGTAGCTAAGAAGGTTACCAAGGCTTTAAGTTTCTTTCATCACCTAATGGTACTACAGTCATATCTGTCCACTGTCTTAGAATAGTTATTCTCAGTACAGTGCCAGGACTAGCAATTCTTCACTTTAGAAGAACTTGCTAAAAAAATGTAAAGTAGTAGGGTCAGGGAATACCTCTGAAGAATGAAATGCGTACAGAAGCCTCGAGATCAAAGATCAGTACCACTAGATGTAGCCTGATAGGTCAAGTATCAAGCACCATTGGGCCCAGGTGGCATCCATGGATTGGGAACTGAAACCTCACAGCTGGGCCAAGTATTACTGGGAATGGCCTGCAGAACCACAGAGTAACAGTTGGGAGGCCCACAAAAACATTTCAAACAATCAGTTCCCATACTACAAACCTACTGAGTCAATTACATGTGTTTCAGCAAGCCTGTACCTACTTTTGACGTTGGATAAAGTTTAAGAACTGCTGTCTCCTAGAAAGGACCTAACAAATATAAAGAAAAATAGTTAACTTTTCTCAACATTAACTCCAACTATGATCTTTCAAAGATAATGAGGGAACAAGGTGTTGTCAAGATAGCTGAGTATTTTCAAGGCACTCTCCTGGCACCATGAAAAAATGGCATCAAAAACTGAATTAAATCCAGAATCCCATAAGGGGCCCTACTGAAGTTTACTGGAAAATCCAGCCATTGCCTCCAGGGACAGAAGCCCATTGTGGTAGAAGGAGGAAAAGGAAGGAAAAGCTACAATGTAGCTTTTGGGATAGAGTGAAGGAGAGACTGCTTAGAAAACTATTTAGGAAAAGGGAGGAGAAAACCAAAAATTAATACCCCAATCTTCAAATTCTTCTCTTACAAAAAATGATCAGAGGCAAGATATTCAGGGTCTGAACTTGCCTGGGGATGCACCTCAATGGCCTCTGGCATCCTTCAGGGAGGGAGTCTCCCACTACCTCTGATTTCTTAATAAATCGGGTTCTGGAAAATTCCACCATTCCTAGGGATGTGACTTAGGAGCACTGGTGTATGGGGTGAGAACTGCTTACCCCAAGCTAAACAAAGCCAGCTTCTCAAAATCTGCATTTAAGAGCATTCAACCTAAATAAATGTCTATAGAGTCAAAAGGATTCCAGAGACAGACAAAAACAAAACCACTGAAACAAAGCAGACCTCCAACTGCGGGCTGTGACTGTGTTCAAAACTGTTTTGAACAGAGAATCTGATTGGAGCCCAGGTCAGGTCAAAGTTGGGACACCAGACCTCAGGAACACCTTGCTGTTGGACCACAGGGTGCTTCTGAGGGCTGCTTGAACTTGACAACACAGTTGCTGCCAGACACTTGCAAACACAAATATCATGTTTACTATACATATCTGCTGGCCTGTGCCAGGCAGAAGCAACTGCAAACCAGAGATGCCATATTTAGGGATACAGCTGCTGTAGTAAGCTTATGATTATAAATTCCTACTCCCAGTTTCAAAGCCACATAAAATCATAGCCACAGTATCTGGCTGGAATTAACAAGCATCAATCCCAGAAGAAAAGTTGTAACAGATACCATATATACCAAAAGAGAACATAAGGGACAACTGTGAATAAATATATGGCACTAAATGGATAATTTATCAGAAATGGATGTTTTCAGAATCCTACAATTCCAAAGACTAAATCCACAGAGAGCAGAAAACACAAACTCACTAATTATTTGTACAGAAAATGAAATAACAAACAAAAACCTCCACTAAAAACAAAAGCCTAAGGTCATACAGGTTTACAAATGAGTTCTTCCAAACCTTCAAACAGGACCTATTATCTCTCTGAAGATCTTTCTGAGAATTGACAAAACAGCAATTCTTAAGTTTCTATGAGATCAACATCAGGGTAATTTCAAAAACAAAGACATAACTAAAAAGAAAGTTACAGATGTGAATCTTCTTAACAAAATTTTAGCAAATTGAATTCAAAAATACATTAAAAAAATCATATACTATGATCAAGTAGGATTTATTTCAGGCATGTAAGAATGATACAATGTAAACAAGCTGATTAATGTGATATGACACATTAACAAATGGAAAAGATAAAAATCACATGATGACATCAAAGACACAGAAAAAGCTTCTGACAAGCTTTAATACCCGCCCATTCTACTTATAGCATTATACAGTTACGGTGAAATTCCTATCAAAATTCCAATGTTATTTTTCAAGGAGACAAAACAACAGTTAAAATTCATATGTAACCACAAAACTCCCCCAATAATCAGAGCAGCTCTGAGAAAAAAGTAAGGAGGAAGGAAATCATTCACTGATTTTAAACTATATAATAATGCGATGAATTATATAGTCATTGTCACTATCACTGTTCTTCCCGTTGTTCATCAATTTGCTCCAGCGGGCCCAGTAATGTCTCCATTGTGAGACTTGTTGTTACTGTGTTTGGCATATCGAATACGTCACAGGTAGCTTGCCAAGCTTTGCCATGCAGGCAAGATACTCTCGGTAGAATTGTATAGTAATAAAATTATATGGTGTTGAAATAAAAAGAGTCTCTGAAAAATAAAATAGAACTGAAAGCATAAAGTGTCGGAAAGAAAGCCTCTTTAACAACTAGTGATAGGAAAACTGGTTAGTTACGAAAAAAATGAAATTGAACCAATATTCACATCACAGCAAAAGTCCATTAAAAATGAATTAAAGATTTTGATGTCAGGCTTGATTCATAAAATAAATCTAAGAAAATACATGCAAGACTATTGAGGTCTCCATGAGTGAATCCACAGAAAAACCAGGTATGCAGGACTTGTGACTGAAAACTCCAGGCTCAAGGGAACCGGGCAACTGGTGACCTTCCTTTATCTCCCCCTAATTCTAGCAGCTTGGCAGTCACACTCACAAGCTGCCACTGGCACCATATAATCTCATTAACATCCATGATTCAGAGACTCAATATAAATCTCTCAGAAGAGAGCACATAACGATATGTCATAGTCATGCCACCAGACCCCACACTGGGCTGTTTTATTTAGGCAACTAGGAGTGGGGAAAGGAATATGCCACGAGTAGCACACCACATTTGATTAGGAAGGCAACCAATCTTAGGGGGAAATATATTTACACAGACATATAGATATAAGCACAGAAGGCTCAACTTTAAAATCATGTTACTAATCTCTTAGATAAGAGCCTAATGGCTCCTGGGTGAAATACAACAATCTTCACAAATTTTCCTTTAAGAGACCTTTTTTTTTTATCTCATTTTTAGCAGATTATTCATAACAACCAAGACAAAATTATTTCAGTTCTGCTTGGGGTTCGGGATGGAAATATGGTGGTAGGAAGATGTAATGGTAGTGCGATTGATATTTGAGTATTAAATGTAATCAAATATTAAGAACAATTTTATAAAAAAAATACTATCAAGATCAACTCAATAATTCAACTCCGTTGTCCAAGAAAACAAAAATAATAAATAGGATACACCAAATGAAAAAAAATACAAAAAAAGTACTTGGAAATAAACTATTTAAAATAAAAAAATAAAATAAAAATATGTCCTACTAAATGGGAGAAAACATTAACGTATCATAGAGCTGACATTTTTTCAAAGAAGACATACAGATGACAACAAAATGGGAGAAAAATATTCATCATCACTGATTATCAGAGAATTACAAATAAAAATGACAACAAGGCATTTCTATCTCATCAGTGAGAATGGCCTATTTCAAAAATTTCAGAAACAATCAGTGTTGGCTGAGATGTTGTGCAAAAGGAACCTACATTCATTGTCGGTAAGGAATGCAAACTAGTTTGGCCTCTATGAAAATCTGTATGAAAACTTCTGGAAAAAAACTGAAAATAGAAGTATCAAATGATGCAGAAATTTTACTTCTAGGTATTTATCCCCCAAATACAAAGTTTTTTTAAAAAAATGATTTTTTTCTACTAATTCAAAAAGGCTTATGTACATCTATGTTCGTTACAGTATGAGTTTACAATAACCAAGATCTAGAAAAAACCAAAGTCCCCAACAACAGATGAGTGGAAAAGAAATTGTAGTATTAAGACTACAATTGGCCAGAGCACAAGCTTTGCATTGTCAAGAGCCAGATTAATTCATTCCCAGCACCACATGGTCCCCTGAGTACTGCATGGTATGGCCCCCTAAGCACCAAACCATACCAAATCAGGAGAATCTCCTGAGGGCCACAGGTGGTCCTCTCACAAAAGGAAAGAGAGGAAAATTGTAGGTTATATACACAATACAACAGCTTAAGAAAAAATAAAATCTCACATTGTGCTACAATTTAGATGAAACAAGAGGGCAGCATGCTAAGCAAAATAGATCAGAAAGATAGAGGGTGGTAGGAGGGAGAAAGGAAGAAGGTAGGAGGGAGAAAGGGAGGGAGTGAGGGAAAAAGAGAGAAAGGAAGGGAAGGAGAGAAGGAAGGAAGAAAGGAAGGACTGAATTTATCAAAGGAGGGGTGCAGAGAGATGGTAAATGAGAAAGGACCTAGAACTGGAGTGGAAGGATACTGTAGGTATGGTACAGTAAAGTAAGAATGTATGCCCAAAGCATAAATATAAGTATTACTGTAAACCATGTTACCTCAATTTTTTAAAAATATCAAGTTTCATAAACAATGGTTAGACCATTGTTTATGAAATGAAACTCTCTGAAACTTAACACATCATTAAATCAAATTTGTTCATTTCCCTCTGAGATGGCAAGCACACACTATTTATGGTTACTGTACTCCTATCTGCCACAAACTTTCACATTTCTAATAAAAGTATACAATGTAAAAAAAAGCTTACAAAGTAGCTACATTTAAGACCATTTTAAAATCAGAATCAGCAAAATTGAAAAAAATATTTAGCACTTAGATTTCTAAATTGAACATTTCACCGTTTCGCTCTTGAATTATTCGAATGGCTTGCAACTGCATTTCAATGTTTTTTTGAACCATCATTGCCTTAAAGATGGTGAAATCTTCAGCAGCCAGAACAGGTTGTAAAATTGCCTATGGAAAGAAATACAAAGGTTAATTATAGGTTCAATTAACAGCTTTTCCCAACATATTCAAATCATTTCCACTGTAAAAGAAATACTGATTAAAGAATTATTTAGGATTAAATAACTCAAAAAGACAATTCTTAGGTTTTATTGTAAAAGTATTTAAAATGCGCCCTCAAGAGGCTGAATTTCCCAAGCCCCATCACTCCTGAAGGCTAAGGCTGACAAATGAGAAGTGCCAAGCACCCCAGGAATAGTACTTTTTTTTTTTTTTGCTTTTTGGCTCACACCTGGTGATGCACAGGGGTTACTCCTGGCTCTGCACTCAGGAGTTACTCCTGGCGGTGCTCAGGAGACTATATGGGATGCTGGGAATCGAACCCAGGTCGTTCATATGCAAGGCAAACACCCTACCCATTGTGCTATCTCTCCAGCCCCAGAACTTACTTTTTTTAAAGCTACCACACTTCAACATTTGAATTAGTCTTTCAGGGAAAAAAAATCTATTTCATACAGAGCTTGTCCTTTGAAATGTACTATTTAATGGTAATTTAGAAACTATAAAATTATCTCTTGACTATAAGAACCTACTAAATAAAGGTAATTGCCAAAAAGGCAAAATCTGGAAAATAAGTCTAATGAGGTGTTAGTAATATGTGAGTGTAATTCTAGTTGTCCTATATAATGTTTTATGGAAGAAGTATAGAGTTAGAAGTTTTGTAAAAATTTTATCTAGATGAAACAAATATAAATTAAGAAGCAAAAGAAAACAAAACAAACAAAAAAAACCACTATAGGTGTTGGGGCTAGGGAGCTAGCTGGCATGTTCAAAATCCTGAGTTCAATCTCCAGCAGCGGTAGGTTTATCCCTGGTGACCCCAAGCACTGCTGGGTGTGACCCGAGACGACACCAGCACCATTAGGCCCTAGCTGCACCACATTCCTGGGTCTTAGCACTGAACCTTCAAGCTCACATTGCCAAAAGCTAATCACACAAAACCAAGCAGAGGCAACCAAAGGTGTGCCACTATCTCCAAATAGGCAGCAGCAGCAGCGTCAACAAAAGCTCCACCACAAATTTCTAAGCAAGAGGAAGGAGTGTTTCCCAAGGCAACCAGCTCACATTTTAAGACAAACACGATATAGCCAATTATAGGTAAAGTACAAAAGCATCTCATTGTAACACATATAAGGACAGGGTGTTTTTTTTTTTTAAATCACACATACAGTTCAAAAGGTCCCATGGTAAGGAAAGTGAATAGGCCACATATGTGTTCAAGTGAAAGTTGCAATAATACTAACAAATATGCACAGTATCAATGATAAATTAGTGATATGAGTGTCTTCAGGGGTTTCTTTACAGGATTATGCTATCACATAACTTTGTTTTAAGGTTTCCAATATAGCTTAGTAAGATAAAGTAATTTAGTCTCTCAACACTAAGAAACACCTACTGAAAGAAATGTGTCAAGGACAAGAAACTGCCAGGAATTTAGGTCAAAAACAGAAAGGATAAACATATGGAGCAAAGAATTTTAAGGTAGTAAAGTTTTTTTTATATGATACTGTAACAGTAGATCTGATGGATTTTTTTAGTTCATTTTTAAACACCTCATATTTACACATTCTACTGGAAAAGCATTCTGATTTTTATACAAAGAGATCATATTTGCTGCAAAGCAGTAAATAATGTTCTCTGAACTCTTTTTTCCTGTAATGCTACAGTCTACTAATTCAATAATGTTCGTATTCAGTATTTGGTGCCAAGAATTTGCTCCAAAAGAGAATAAAACTACCTAAACTACATAATTGAATCCATGGCCCTGGTGTAATTTGTACACTACTAATAGACCACTAAATGTCTATAATGTTTCACAGTAATAGACACATCCATCTTTCTTCATTGTTAGGATAATCTTAACTTGTGAATAAAAATATTAAGAAATTTTAAGGGGCCAGAAAGATAGCAAAGCAGCTAAGGTCTTGCATGCAGTCTATCTGGGTTTGATCTCTGGAAACACATATGGTTCCCTGAGCACTATAAGGATTTATGCACTGACCATAAAGTCAGGAGTAAATCCTGAGCACTAATAGGTGTGGCCCCCCCGAGCTGGAAAACTATAAATATCAAGTTTTTAAAGGATAATTTATCTCAGCCAGGGGCAAAATGATTCTTCTATAGGCCCCCAGGATATTCCAAGGGAGGCACAAATGACAATCACATATATGGGATGTGGTGGGGCTAGGATTTAGCATAAGACTAAGGGTCATATTGGTAGGATGGAAGGAGCAGGGGAGGCACATGAAGCAAACAAGGTTAGAAGGGGGCCTCAATTAAAAAAAAAAGGCTCAGAAACACTGTGTTAGACCACTGACCAAAAATTAAGTGGGGAAAAAAACGTGGTTTGGGGCTGCAAAGAGAGTACAGTGGGTAGGGTGCTTGCCTTGCACGCAGCTGACTTGGGTTCAATCCCTGGCACCACATACAGTCTCCCAAGCACCACCAGGAGTGATCTCTAAGCACAGAGTCAGGAGTAAGCCCTGAGCACAGCTGGATGTGGGCCAAACCACCCTCCCATCAAAAAAACTTTTTAAAAAAAGAAGTAACATTTCAGAGCCAGAGAAATACTACAAAGATTAAGGTGATTGCCTAACATGGGACTATGCACTGTACTCCAAACAATACTAGGTGTAAACCAAATACTGTAGCACTGTAGCACTGTCCTCCCCGTTGTTCCTCGATTTGCTCCAGCGGGCACAGTAATACTGTGAGACTTGTTTTTACTGTGTTTGGCATATAGAATAAACCAAATACAAAAAAGAAAAGAAGTAACATTTAAGCCAGGCCCTGATGAGTAATGAAGTGTTAGTTGGATAAAAGTGTAGGCCAAACATTTCCTATTAAAGACTAGAATGAGCAAAATCAAGAGCATAGATACTTACAAGATCAAGTGACCCAGAATGACAGTAGTATATAATGTTTTAGAGGGCTGTATCAAGAGAAGTAAATGATCTGGAATCATATTAAGATGATTCTAATGGGGCCAGAGTTAGAGTACAATGGGTAGGGTGTTTGCCTTGCATGGGCTGACCCGGGTTCGATCCCTAGCATCCCATATGGTCTTCCAGGCACCTCCAGGAGTGATTCCTGAGTGTAGAACGAGGAGGAACCCCTTGGCATCACCAGGTGTGGCCCAAAAACTAAAACTTAAAAAAAAAAAGACAATTCTATAATTTTTGCTACGAAATGATAGTTTATTGGGTAGAAAATGAAAAGCTAAAGAAATTGTTGTAAATGCTTTTGGTAACAGCAATATACTCTTAATCACAACCTCTGAGCAAGGACTCTCAGTGGGGTGCCAAGATTAATAAGCTGGTTCTAACACTTAATTAGCTGGGCACTAATTACTTAATATATAAGGGTTTTAGTTTCCTCATAAAGGTAAAGGTAAAGGCCCTCCCGTTGATCATCGATTTGCTCGAGCGGGCCCAGTAACGTCTCCATTGGAGACTTTGTTGTTACTGTGTCTGGCATATCGAATACTCTCGGTAGCTTGCCGGGCTCTCCGAGAGGGGCAGAGGAATCGAACTCGGGTCGGCCATGTTGGCCGCTTGTAAGGCGAACGCCCTACCCGCTGTGCTATCGCTCCAGCCCAGTTTCCTCATATCTAAGTAAAAGTCATAACCTTTTCTTAAAAGTGAGATTAAATGAGCAAGACATATGAACTGCTGTAACAACAACCAGCAGAATCCTTAGACAATATTAGTTATAAATACTCAGAACACCTACTTCAATCCAACATTGACACAATAAAAGCAGTTTCCAGAGAAGAATGCACCAGAAGCATTGGACTATAGATCTGCTAAGATTTAAAAAGGGACATCAGCTTAACTGTCAGAGATCTATAAAAATAAATCAGTTGTTTTGATAAACCCTGTAATCTATTACAGTTCTGAGCTCAGAAAATTCCTAATTGTACAAGCTCACTGTTGCCTCAAATTTTCACTTCTCATGGTAATACAAAAAGAATCTAGTACATGGTTATCTTTTAACTCTCTCAATGTATAGAATATTACACATGGATAATCAAACACAGCAAGTTTAGGTGTCACTGTCACTGTCCTCCCATTGTTCATCGATTTGCTTGAGCGGGCCCAGTAACGTTTCCATTTTTCTTTTGAGACTTATTGTTACTGTGTTTGGCATATTGAATATGTCACGGGTAGCTTGCCAGGCTTTGCCATGCGGCGAGATACTCTCGGTAGCTTGCCGGGCTCTCTGAGAGGGGCGGAAGAATCGACGCCGGCTCAGCTGGGCTGGGTGCACGCAAGGCAAACGCCCTACCACTGTGCTATTGCTCCAGCCCAAGTTTAGGTGAAAACCTGGATATTTCTGTTACAACCTTACATCAGCAAAATAAGACAAAAATAAAAACCTGTGATGTGCGTGTCTTAGCAAGAGGAGAAGTGCATGCTTCTTGAAATTGATCTTCATTAATTCCGATTTCTTTGAGGTAACTTTCTAATAGCTTTTCAACCTAAAAAAGAGAAAGTTAAATTCTTTGAATTTATATGAAAAAGTCTAAATTACAGTTTCCATGCTAAGTAATGAGTTTTTTAAAGTATAACTAAATGCCTATGCATTTGTTAATCTATATATATTAGAGGCCAGATAGATAGTTTAGTGGACCAAGCACAATGCTTTGCATGTAAGAGGCCTAGGTTTGGATCCTTGCACCTACTACCACCAAGTCCTGCCAAGTACAGAGCCAGAAATAGCAACCAAGCATTACAGGATATGGTCCTCAAACAAACAAAAATTGTATTATAGTTAAAAGGCATTATTTCACTAAATATATATATATGTATATATATATATATATATATATATATATATATATATATATATATATAGATTGGCTTTTTGGGTCACACCTGGCAATGCACAGGGGTTACTCCAGGCTCTGCACTCAGGAATTACCCCTGGTGGTGCTCAGGGGACTATATGGGATGCTGGGAATCGAAGCCGGATCGGCTGTGTGCAAGGCAAATGCCCTACCCGCTGTGCTATCACTCCAGCCCTTCACTAAATATTTTAGAATCAAATAAAACCATATTTTCTCTACTGGATAAAATTAGAGTGAGATTTATTGAGTTTAATCTGTTAGAACATTTCTAACAGATTAAGGTAGTAGAATGTTTCTACTACCTTGAGGCACTTTTAAAATTATATAACTGGAGCCAGAACGATAGTACTGCAGTACAAATTGCCTTGCACGTGGCCAATCCAGATTTGATCCCAGCACCTGATATGGTCCCCTGAGCAGCCTCCCCCATCAAAAAAAAAATCATAAAACAACCATGGCTAAATTAATGATTAATATGACCCCCAGATGCATCAGTAGAAGAATAAAAGTAAAATTTTAAAAGTATATATAAGATCCTTTAAAACAGGTGTTATAAAGCCATTTCTTAGATTCTAGAGTAGAAGAGAAACAAGTCTTAAAAATGAGATGCTCAGAGACTCCTAGGAGACCAAAACAACTGGTATTATTATTAGAGAAAATGGAATATTTAGTAAAATTAAAATAATTTTTAATTTAAAACTCAGTTTTAGAAAATCTAAAATTAATATTTTAATTATCTTTAATAATTAGTGAATAAATACTCACTAGTTCTTTGTATTCCTGATGAATCTCTGTATAGGTCAATTTGCTTTCTTCTTCATCATCAAAAACTAAATTCATAAGAAAAATATTGCAGAGTAAAACACATTTTATTAATACAATATAAAAGTCTACTTCTTACAAACAGAACTCATTACTAAAATTTAGCTCTTCAACTTTTAATTCTTGTATTTTTCATTATTTAAAAGAAAACAGATAATGTATTCATTGCAAACAAATTTTTCAATTTAAAATCTACCTTTTAAGACAAGTATTAATTTATAATTTTCAATAAATAACATAAGGTAATAATTTAGTTTTAGTAGAATATTATTAATAGCTTTTAATAGTAATTGCTTTACCACAGGTACCATGTTAGTTTATTGTAGTGAAATTTTCTGATGCAAATTTTACTCAAAGTGACCATTTCAGTAAAATTTCATTTTTTCTTACATATAATGAGGTTAACATATATAAAATGAAAATAAGATTTACTCAATGGTTCACGGTCACGGTCACGGTCCTCCCGTTGTTCATGGATTTGTTCGAGCGGGCCCAGTAATGTCTCCATCATGAGACTTGTTGTTACTGTGTCTGGCATATCGAATACGTCACGGGTAGCTTGCCAGGCTCTGCCATGCAGGCGAGATACTCTTGGTAGCTTGCCGGGCTCTCAGAGAGGGGCGGAGGAATCGAACTCGAGTTGGCCATGTTGGCCGCTTGTAAGGCAAACGCCCTACCGCTGTGCTATTGCTCCAACTCAATGGTTATATGTGACAAATATGTAGGTTTGAAATATATAGACTGGCTTAAGAAATTTAATGTCAAGGAGCTGAAAAGAAAGTACAGCAGGTAGGGTACTGGCCCTCCACGCAGCAGTCAGGGGTTCGATCCCTGGCAGCCCATACAGTCCCATGAGCACTGCCAGGAGTAATCCCTGGGTCAGAAGTAAACCTTGAGTATTTCTGGGTGTTGTCCATAACAGTCCCCGCAAAAGAAAAAATTAAATATCAACAAAACAAGACCAATGAATGAATTATAATTTTAATATTCCCCCAAAAATGTTTGCTCTAAAATATAAAGCAAGAGGCAAGATAGTACAGGTCATAAAGAGCTTGCCTTGCATGCTGTCAACCTGGGTTCCAATCCCCTATACCATATATGGTCCCCTGAGCACTCAAGAGTACCTGAGCAGAGAGTGAAGAGTATGTCCTGATTACTGCGATTATGGGTCCTAAGTCCCAAAAATAAGTTAACAGGAAAACAAATACATGTGGTTTTCTAGTTACAACACTTCATGACTCCTCAATGCTATAGAATAAGTACAAAATCTTGTACTTCAGACAAAACTCTCCAAGACTGGGTTCCAAGTCTCATCTCCCACCATGCTAAACTTTGTGTTGTTTATACACAATTATTTAGAATACCAAGAAACAACACACAGTAATTTAAATCACATACCACCCCATCCCCACCCCCACACAACCTGCTTAAGCCACCACTCCATCTTTTTGCCTATACCCAAATGCCACTTCTCAAGATACTGAGACAGGCACATACACCATGACCTGCTATGCATTCCCAATTTCTGCCAGTGAACTCATAATAAACAGCATTTTGTGCCTATCATTATTACAGAATCTTCTGCTTTACACTTAATTCTATTTACCAGTTTGTTTATAATGACTAAATTATAAACTTCAAGCACACAAATTTTATTTTATTCAAGCTTTCTATCCCCAACTTCTGACCCAAGAATATTCAATGTTTATTGAAATGATTACAAGTATCACAAAGGTGTACAAAACTAATCTCTAGATCATCTGAGGTAAAGAATAGCAGCATGCTGGCAACCAGAGTCAGTGGAATATAAACAGATATGACAAATGTTACTAGCATGCTACTTTCATTTTCCCTGACAACTGCTCTGATAACTTCTTAGCACTGCCCCCCCACACACACACAACAAAATACAGCAACCATCTCACCTTTTTTCAGCTAATTCTAAAACCAAATTAATATATTACACACTTACAAAGCTGAGGATTGATGTGACCCTATAAAATTATAAATCAAAATCAGGTCTATTATTAATAGATGTAGACATTTTTGATGTTTTACTTGGGGATGGGGGAGGAAGAACAGTTTCATGCTTTCCTTTTCCATTCAGTATTTTAGTCTCAGCAGGATAAATGAAATCAGAAGGTAATATAATTTCTTCTTTTATTCTAAAGAAAGGCAAAGATTCCATTAGCCTTTTCGATCTCATCATGGCACTGATGTTTCTAAAAAAAAAGCCTAAAGATTGTACAGCAGGTAAAAAGAGGATGCCTTGTACACAACTGAGGTAGGCTTGATCCCTAGTACATGGGAAGGCCAAAAAAAAAAATACAAAAAGGCTAAATAAGAGATATTGGAGGCCCAGGGCGCGGAAGAGAGAGAGTCAGAAAGATAGCTAAATGGGCTGACCTCATACTTTGCAAGTAGGAGGTCTAGGTTGATTTCCTGCACAGTTCCCAAAACATCCAGATGGGAGTAGCCCCTGAATAAGGCAGGGTATGGCCCAAACATCAAAATGGAAAGTTTATTGGGGCTTCAAGGTATGTGGCTAAGTGGCAGAGTGCCTGTCCTGCAGGCATGAGGTTGCAAATTCTATCTCCAGCAAGTGCAGAGCTGTCCAAGAAGCACTGACATTGGGATCCCCATGGCCACATCCAAGTATGCCACCACAACAAGCACTGCAGCTAAATCCTGTGACCACCACAAGCAAATCTGCAAGCCTCCAGCACCACAGCAACAGCAGCAACAATCAAGAAAAGGGGAGTTGTTGATTTAATTTTTTAATTAAAAAATAGCTTTTAAAAACTTTTTTAAAAAGCTTTAAAACAATACTTAATACTACTCGAATTTTTATTCTGCAAATGAGAATGTAATGAGATTTCATGCACAGATTAAATCACCTTCTTACAAGATTCATAGAATCTCTTCTTGGGGGGAGTGGGGGTGGTTTGAGGGGTCATACCCAAAGGTTCATGGCTTACTCTCGCCTCTGTGCTCAGGATACTCTCCTGGTGAGGTTTGATAGGCCAAATGGGATGCCAAGGATTGAACCCAGATTGGCAATCGCCTTACTTGTCATACTCTCTCTCTCTAGTCCAGATTCATGGAATCTTAAGAGTTTAAATCAATTTATCATTAAATTTTCCTTCATAACATCGCCACCAAATTGCTATCAAGTCCATTCAAACTCTGCTGCTAGGGAAACTCATCTTGGATAAAAGCGCTTCTGCCATGGAAATGTGTTTCCCTGGGGTTTGTATTCACTGACCCTTTGGCTCTACAGCCCAGTCTTAAAAAGCAATTTCTAATGCCTCCAGTATAAAAGATTGTTCAAATGATTAATAGATATTACCACCCTCAAAATCTTGCTAAATTAAATAAGCACAAAGACAGCTAGTCACTCATTCACATGACAATTTACTTATAATTTTTATAGTTTCTGATTCCTTTTCCATAAATAGGCTCCAATTTTGTCTTCAAAAATTGAAGACAGAATCCAGCCATGAACTTATCAGAAGTTGAAATATTGTATCATGTTTATGTAAGTTTCATCTGTGAAAAGCAACTCTCCCTTTGTTTCTACAGCCAAGAATAAAATCACTGAACAAAGGGCTCCGAGTCTACTGGAGACATCATACAACACCCCTAGCAGTAACTGTTAGGATTAGAAGGAAAATTGATGCATCTCATCCCAAATCACTAGGGAAACTGCCTGGTTAAGTCAAATTGTGCACCTGCCCAGAACAAAAGCCCGCTTGGAACAGGCTGAGAAACTCAACATAGGTTTAAACTTGAAGGTTCTTTGGGCGTGTGCTTGGATCCAAGGGTTTGGGGAGCGGGGAGTCTTGGCTCCCATTTTCTGTAGCGTGAAGGAAAACAGCAATTCCTCCCACAAACCCACTTCAATCCAGGCCCACTGGGGTGAAAATCGGAGTAAAGAGATCTGGTCTGCGGTGCCCACCTCCCTGCCAACAGCTGGAGAGAAGCGAAAGGGTAACGTTGTTTGGGGGGAAGGGGGTCTCGGTCTTTTACCTTCACATTTCTGCTCCACAAAGTCCAAGATGGGAATGGACCAGTCCGGGCCCCGCAGGAACCCCGCGATGCTCTCCACCACCCATTCCACCTCATCCTCTTCTTCCGCAGCCATCCTGCCCACGCGGGGCGCAGCGGAACCCTAGGCCAGAACCCCGGAGCCTGCTGAGGCCTTGGGGCCTCCCTGGGCCCACAGGGAACGGCGGGAGAGCGGCCCCCCGCAGTTGCCAGGCCACCTGGATGAAAGTACAAACCAGTTAACGTAAAACGGTCGCTATGACAACAGGGGCAGCGGCCCCGGCTGCGGTCCGGAAGTGAAGCCTCCCAGGAGCCTGCGCATCTCTGAGAAGGGCTTTTGTAAAACGTTTCTGATTGGCTAGGAAAGAACAGTAGCAGAGCAGAAGATAGCCCTCCTCCCATTGGCCCGGAGTTGCTATGGCTGTGGACGGGCGTGTGGTAATGGGTGGAGGTGCTGGATGGGCTCTCGACGTTCCCTTTTCTGAGAAGTTAACGTAGAAACCAAGAAATGGCGCGGTGAGACCACCTATGGTCCTGGCTCCGGCTCAAGAGGCTTCACGAAAAATCCAAGACAAGGGCCCTACCTGCTATATTATGTTCTCTGATCCCCCTTACATGTACTTTTAAAATACCCCCTGAGTGTGCCAGTCTCTATGGCTTCTATGACAGAATACCGTTACCTAGGTTATGAACACCAGAAAATTATTTTTCATAGTAATGTGAATGGGAAAACCAAGATCAAGCTGTCAGCAAATTGGTGCATCCCTGAAGGCCTGCTTCCTAGATCTCAGACTGCTCCCTTAGTGTTTGTTTGTTTGTTTGTTTAGCTACACTCAGCTGCACTCAAGCTTACTCCTGATTCTGCGCTCTAGGTTCACTCCTGGGACTCAGGGGGACCATATATGCTGACAGGTATTGAACCACGGTCAGCCAGTTGCCAGAAAAGGTCCTTCACCCTTGTGCTACCTTCCCAACAGTATTAGGCTGTTACCTTTTCTCTTCAAATCTGCGTGGGTTAAGAGAGCTCTCCAGAGACTCTCCCCATCTACCAGGACTCCGTCTTCATGACCTAATCGCCTATTGATGACCCCATTTTCTAATACCTTTATAATAAGGTTTCAGCATATAAATTTTAGGGGCACATAAACATTTACTCTTGAGCGCCTATTTTTTTTCATTATGTGAACCTAACATTTATTTACAAGTCATTAATCATCTAGTCTGATTTTTAATATGATTTATTTGGTTTTGGCCACACTAGTCACATTCTGTGGTGCTTGGGGCTTACTCCTGGCTCTCTGCACTCAGGAATCGCTCCAGGAGGGGCTTAGGGGACCATGTGGTGTCCTGAGGAGATCAAACCAGGTTCACCTAGGGCAAGTCAAGTACCCTACCTATTGTACTGTCTCTCCAGCCTGTTTTTTTTTTTAAATACAACCTAAAAGATAATTCTACAATGAGATTTCTTGTAACAGCCTTATTACCTGGGGGGGGGGGGGGAGGGAATAGAGACATAGTATAGAAAGTAAGGGATTTGTCTGCATGTGGCCACCACACTGCAACTCTGGCACTGCAACTCTGATTAGAATACCAGGCTCTACATTTGGTACCTGGTCTACACTATGGATGACTCCTGAGCACAGAGTGGGGAATAATCCCTGAGCACCAAAATAGGGCCCCAAAACAAACAAACAAAAAAACTAAAAAACCACCCAAATATTTATTTTTTTATTATTTTGTATTTTGGGTTCTCACCAGGCAATGCTCAGAAGTTTCTCCTGTCTCTTTACTCAGTAGTTACTTCTGGCAGTTCTGGATATACTCCCGATTCTTGATTCAGGAATTACTCCTGACCTTGCTAGGGGGACCATTTCGAATGCTGAGGATTGAAACCAGGACGGCTGTGTGCAGAGCAAACGTCCTACTGCTGTATTCCATTCCATCCCTATTTATCTTTCACAGAAAAATATTTTCATTGAAATTTTGTGATTTACAGTATTAATAGAACTCGGGAGCCCACTTTGGAGGTTTCTCATGTACTTAATTTCAACATGACACCTATCACCAGTGTACCTGCTTCTTCTCCCAAGGACCTCAATATCCCTCCTTTCCCAACTCCCACTCCCAACTCAATTGTGTGGATCAGTTGCCTTTGGACCTTTGTTGCTACCTTGATGTGTATTTTTAAGTCTTATATATGAGAGAGATCACTTAATCACTTAACTTCCCGTTAGTCGTCGATTTGCTCGAGCGGGCGCCAGTAACGTCTCCATTTGTCCCTGTCGCGTGCTAGTGTAGCCCAATGGCATCTCTTCGCTCCGGGAACATGGAGGGCCTCAAACCGATCGTTCATGACCTTGACAAAGAAGTCTGACCATCTGGTAGGTGGGCGGCCACGCGGTCTCTTGACATCCCGTGGAATCCAATCAGTAACAGCTCTAGTCCAACGGTCGTCTTTAAATCTCATTACGTGACCAGCCCATCTGATTTTCGACACCTTGGCAAATGAGACAGCGTCCCTGATCCTTGATCGTCGACGGATGTCAGAACTCCGGATTCGTTCTCTCATTTGAGTGAAACGTGATATTCCAAGCATAGCTCTTTCTATTCTTCTTTGGGAGACCTGAATGGCGTTCTCATCTTGTTTGCGTAGGGCCCAGGTCTCTGAGGCATATGTTAATGCAGGAAGAACAGTGGAATCAAAGAGATGTGCCCGGAGCCGGAGGTTCTTCGTCCTCTTTCCTATTTCTTCGACGTTCTTGAAGGCGTTCCAAGCCGCTCTCTTCCTCCTGCGCAGCTTGGGTGCCAGGTCATTTGTCATGTTGACCTCTCGACCTAGGTACACATAGCTGTTGCATTCGGAGATGGTCGTTCCATTGAGAGCGAATGGGGCGTCAGGAACAAGGCTGTTTCTCATAAATATCCCACTGGCAGACTTCCACTCTCGACACTACTTCCACTACCCAGCCGTCGCCACACTCCAGGACGCTTTCTGGACCCGCGCGGCCGCTTGCGGCCGCGCGACACATCATAAGACACTAAATACCCGTCTTCTGGAATTGTCGTACCATATTTGATAGGGTTCAAATATGGTAACACCTACAAGGGTGATTAGAGGTCACCCCAAAAGCCTCTATACCTCTCGGAAAGACTGGCAAGCTACCGAGAGTATTCCGCCCGCACGGAAGAGCCTGGCAAGCTATCCGCTGTGTATTCGATATGCCAAAACCAGTAACTACAACTGGTCTCATGAGAGAGATAACCCTGTTAATTTGCTTCTGACTCACTTCATGCAGCAGGGTATCTTTTAGTTCCAGCCATGTTGCTGCAAATTGCATGATTTTTGTTCTTTATTGGAGCTTCATAGTATTCTTTAGTATATACCAAAGTGATCTATTCATCTGTAGTTGAGCATTTGCTTGTTACCTTATCTTGTCTATGTACTAAGTGTGGTGATAAACATAGGTGTGCGTATATCCTTTTGAATTAATGTTTTGTGTTTTGATGTTAGATACTAAGAAATGGTATCTGAGTCATATGGTAGTTCTTTTCCTATTTTTTTGATAGATCTTTACTTTTACTTTCCCTAAAGGCTGAATCATATGACATCCTAACTAACAGTGGGTGGGGGCTGGGACATAAAAACTCAAGCTCCAAGAAAAAGACATCCAACGGAATGGGAGAATGTATTTTCATGCAATACATCAGATAAAGGGATGGTATTCGAGATCTATAAAGCGCTCTCAAAACCCAACAACAACAAAAAGAAATCCAACAACCCCATCCATGAATGAGGCAAGGAGATGACCAACACTTCCCCCTCCCCCAAATGACATACAGATGACAAACAGGCATATGAGAAAATGCTTATCTTCATTCATGATTAGGCAAATGCAAATCAAAGCAACAATAAAATATCTCATTCCAGAGAGAATGACACATATCCAAAAGTCTGGAAACTGCCAGTGTTGGCAGAATATCATTTATCATTTTTTAACAAAATAGTTTCTAAAAATGAAATTACTAAATCACATAGTATATCATTTGTTTTTTTTTTCTTCTGTCCCTTTTTTTGTTGCCGTTATTGCAATAACCAGTAGACAGAAGTGCTTGGTTGTGATGATTTCTGGGATCATCCTGGTCACAGTAATTATGTATCCTTTCCAGTTGTGCTGCTTGCTGGGAGTTGCACACAGTAACTGTACTGCTCACATATACCTATCTATACTCTAGAGATGACATATTCTACTGCAGCAACAGCCAGCAGAGTTACTGAACTATGCTTGGTTCATGTGGGTGCCCCAGGGGATCAAACTCATAACCTCATACCTGAAAGTGCTTTTAAAAGCTTTAAATGTGGCACTGTTAAGGCATATTTTATCTCTGAGATATCCCCCTGGCTTGTATCAGGCAGTTTTACAGGCAGTTGTCTGGGTCAGTTTACTTGTTTATTTTTTTTTAAAGAGGAAGTACTGTGCATCCTACAATAATCATGGTTAAGTGCTAAGTAATTCTGATTATTTTAAATGCAATTTTACATTTATGATTCTGTAGATCTCATATAGTTTGAAAATTATTTAATCAGGAAGTTCAAAAGTTATTAAATTCCAGATGAAGCAGACTCCTTAATAGACTACTACTCCAAATGTAGCTCCATTTCTCCATCTCCAATACATTATTTGACACCAGTAGACCCACAACGAATATTTGATAGTTAAACTAATGATAATCTGAATGGTGTTTCACATATTTCTAAAAATAAACCATTTCTCTTTTTGGCATCTGAGGAAGATAATAAAGGTGTGATTACTGGCAGAACATGATTCTTTTTTAAAAACCCTAACAAAACACACTTTAAATCAGATGGTTTAAAGTTATTTTTAGCAATATAAAAATATCAGTGTGCTGATAGTATCATTCTCATTTAAAATTTATAAAACTTTGATATCTAACTACCTAATTACTATTCCAAATAGTAAGAACTCAGCTTTCAAGTAAAGTGAGAGGAATAAAAGGTCATTGCTTTAATACTGCAAATTGCTTTTATTCTAGCTATATAAAGACTTTGAAGAAGTTCTAAAATTATATGTTCTTTGCAAATATTCTGACTTGATTGGTTTATTTAATAGCAAAGAGATAACAGAGGTTTTCTTGGGTTGGCAAAAAAAAATTACCTGCTCTATCTTCAAAATTTTCCAATAAATCCTTAGACTTTTACTGAAGTTTCAGAATATCCATAACCTTTCCATTTCTTTTGTTTTCTTTTTCTCATATCTATAAAAATATTCAGCATCTCATTAAAATTGAGACAAAG